TTTGGGGACATGGGGCTAAAAGCTGGTCCTTCCTGCCTCCAACTGCAGCACTCCCCAAAACGCTGTCGATGCTACAAGTCCTTGTTTCCCAGCAGACATTGTCACAAAATACAATTAATATGGATTTCATGTACCTCCTACCACAGGGCCGTTCTCCCGATTCCCTCGGTCCTGACAGCTCAGCTGGGAGCCCCTCAGCACCCCGACATTCCTGCCACAGCCAGGAGAGCAGGAGAGCACACACTGAAGGGGCTGCTCCCTGCCTGGGCAGGGAATGAGCAGCACAGCCGGGGATGGCACAGCCAGGATGAACACAGAGCCCTCCAGGCTCGGGGATGGGCACAGCCAGGATGAACACAGAGCCCTCCAGGCTCGGGGGCAGCACAGGGAAGGCAAACCCCCGCTCTGAGAACCCCCAGGGATGGGTGCGGGGGAAGGCCCGGCTGCTCTGACAGATCCCAGCCCAGCTGCCCGAGGAGGGGCCTGGCACAGGGCAGGGACACTCAACTCTGCTGTTCCTGCGTCTGGGAGAACAATAAATAAATCTGTGGGAGGCAACAGTGGGATGACTCAGAGGCGAGAGCGAGAGAAAGTCGTCATCTGCAGAGCACATCATCCGTGTCCAGCGATCCACGGGGCTCCAGGACTCGTGTCAGGGGGGTCCCTGTCCTGTTCCAGCCCCCCAGTAACTCTCTGCCAGGAGGGCGATGGGGACAGCCCCACCAGCAGCAGCCTTGGCCATGCCTGGGGGGCTGCAGCCCCTCCCCAGCCCTGGGGCACCAGTGGGAGCACAGCTGGATCCGTCCAGCACCTGGAGAGGATGGGCTGGGGCACCACTTAAACCCCAAGAAACAGCTCCTGTTTCCCCCCACGACCTTGGGCAAGCTTTGCCTTTTTGGGTGCATCACGCAAGGACCCCATCACCCCAGGGCAAGGAGGTGCACAGGAGAAATGCTCCAGCTGAAATTTCTCCCAGGAGAAATGCCCAGTGCAGAGCAGAGCAGCCACGGCGTCGGGAACAGCGACACCAGATCTGCTCCCAGCTGGAAATGTTGTCGGAGCGTGGACTGAATCTAATCACAGCAGAGCCTGAGCCGAGACGCTGAGGATGTTGTGTGTGTCAAATGAATTTCATGTGAATCTCCGTTTGCCAGGCACAAATACAGCCTGCAGGGAATGAAAGAACAAGGAAAAAAGCACCAAAAAAGCATCAAAAAGCAACTCACACGGCACAGTCTGAGAATTAATAGCAACAAGGAAACTTCTGGTCCACTGCAAAATAAGCAATTTTTCTGTCAAGTTGACATCTTGGCAGGGAGACCACTTGGGGAACCTGCTTGGCCCTGTGGCCTCACAGCTCAGCATCTCACACAAATTTATGCTCTTTCCACTCAGCTCTCGTTAAACTCAGGGTTCCCAAGGCTGAATGCAGCACTTGCAGAACACACAGGGGGTTGAGGATGTCGTTATCCAGGAATGCAGAGGTAGGGAATTGTCAAAGCTGTAACTCCTAGACTGATGTATGCAAAACAAAAAGAAGAATGCAGGAACTTGGCTATAAAGACATGGATTTAGTCTCATCAACCGAGCCATTAAATCAGAAGCAAAGACACCTTCATCTGCACATTGAGAACCACAGAGATATTTGTCTGCTCTGTCAGTGCTCAGGTTTGCTGGCTTGGTTTTCAGTTTTCTACTTTTATTTAATACCAAAGGGACATTATATATCTAATAACAAGTGAAACACACTGTAGAATTCTTACAAAGCCTCTTCTTCCATCATTTCCCAAACCCCATGAAGAATGTGAGGTGAAGAGCTGCCTGCAAGAGGTGAATCATGTCTTCAAGCACAAACATTGCTATTAGGTGACTAAGACCTAAACAACCATCTCTATTTATTGCAACTGATGCTGTTATTAAATACCAGACAGGTCCCTTTGCAGCCCCTCGTGCTCTCAGGTCTGTGTGTGCTGTGAAACTGCAAAAGGCACGTTGGAATAAAGAGGATCCTTTGTGTAGCATCCAAAACACTTTGGAAACCTGGGAGTGCTTGGTGCTCCCAGAGCATCCTGGCTGGGGACTGCTGGGGTGACAAGGGGCATCTCTGAGCCTTAGAACCAGGCAAGTGAATCCATGAGAGCACAGGGAATGCCTGGTGGAAAGGGATGTTGTGCCAGGTGGGCTCCACAGAGGGGTTCTGAGCTGCCTCTGGAGCAGGAGGCAGCAAGTGAAAATTTGCAAACCCGCCCGTGGGAATCAACCTGGCTTTGGGAAGAGCCTGAGAGCAGGGGCACCATGGTGAGCACAGAGAGGGGTGTCCACCCTGCCCAGAAGGACATCTAGGGCAGGCTGAGCTCAAGCTTTCCCATTTGAACAAGTTCTCATTGGGAAACCAAATTTTCACTGGATTTTCCCCATCAATCCCATCCATCCACCCTCTCCTGCTCCATCTCCTGAGAACGGTGCGTCATCCGAAGCCTTCGCATTTTCACAAAGCGAAGTCGAGCAGAACTGAGGGAAGCCAGGCTCTGCTCCCCCTTCCAAATGTTCCCAGCACTGGGAGGGAAGCCAGGAGACTTTAGATGTTTTAAGGAGCTGCAGGTTTGGCTGCTCCCCTGCAGCACCCACTGCCTGCTCCGGGCTCCTCCTGCTCAACAGCATCTCCCACCACCCTCCTGGCAGCTCTGCTTTGATCTTTGGATATCACAAAATACGTGCTCTCCAAAAAATCAAGCCCAGACATCCTTCAGTCTGAGCACTCACAGCTTTAGGACAGCTCAAATTGCTCAGTGTTACATCCCCGCTCTTGTAATGAGGTTTTCGTGGACATAAAATTTAATGAAAATGTGAAAACATCTCACAGAAAGCAAATTCCAGCCCCGTAGCTCAGGAAAATCTGCTCTCCTGGTTGACTGCCTAATTTACACCCCCAGGACTTGCAGGTCTCAGTGCAGCTGTAGGACCAGTGTTGCCATCCCCACTGACCTGACTGCAGCCATGCCAGGGTCCTGAACTCTCCAGGAAACTCTTGGATCTCCCTGGGAGCGAGGATTTCCCCAAAGGAGCTTCATTTCACCCTTCTGAAAAGTGAGAAAAGGTCACAAGTGAGCTGCTGGGTGTTGTGTTTGCCTGAAACCTGGGGTTAAAGGTGATGGAGGGATCACCCCCAGGCAAACCTCCTGGAGCTGACTCAGTTATTTTCCCCTTCAGCAGTCTTTGCCTTGCTGTTCCTCAGCTTTCTCTCAGTGGAACTCCACTAGGCCCTGTGGATAAATAAAAACCCACATCCAAGAGCTGCCTGTGCCCTGGCTGGGGTTGGGAGTGTTAATTTTATATATTTGGTATCAAAGTTGCTGCTGCCACCACAGAGCAGTGCTAAGGGAATGGCTTCAGCAGTGCTGCCAGCACCACGCTGGGCCTAATTGCACCAGGGATGATACACATGTGGGGCTTATTATTATTATTTTTTTTTTATTCTAAAGATACTCAATTTGTAATGTAAGAGGTTTCAAACACTGGTATTTCTTTGCTAATTAAATTATTCAGCTGGAGACAGAATATCTTCAAAGAAGGATTTTTTTTTTCCCCAGAATGGGTATCTGGAGTTGCAAGGCTGTATTATTGTACATGAAAAATATTTCCCTATTAGCCTTTTATTTCAGGGCACACATTTAACTGACACTTCCCGTGCTGACAGCTCACCCAGCTTCAAAGCACAACTTCTGTGAGGATTGCAGAGTGTGAGGCTGGGCAGGATGAAGCTGTGGCCCAGCTGACACGAGCCCCGGGGAAGTTTTCCCTCTTTTTGGAGAGCCTGAAGCAGAAATCCACACTGGGACTTGCACACTGTGTTTTGGGGTTTTTCAGTAGGGTAAGATGCACTTCCAAGCTGTGAGCAGATTCTGGGAACCTGGTTTCTTCTCTAATTCCTCTGTTCCCTCTATCAACACAGCTGGGAGAGCTGAGCAGCTCAGCCAGAGCTGGGGATTAACCCTGGGCCCCTCAAGGCAGAAATCAAAGCTCTTCTCCATGTCCCTGGGACATTGGGCTAATCCAGGCTGCCCTAAGGATGCTGCAGGGAGCCTTGCAGTGGTCCAGCCAAGACAAACCAGAGCAGTGCTGTGTTCTCCTTTCACCCAAGGCTGCAGAACAGAAACGCATCCCGACCTCTGAGAAATCTCAGAACTAAAAAGAAACCATCATCTCCCTGCTGTCCCACGGAGGCTGGAGCTCCCACAAGGCTGACCACCTCAATCCACCCCTCAAACAGCAGCGTTGCCATCACCCAACCCTTCCCTGCCCCGCCAGGGCTCTGCTGGGCACACCAAGCCCCTCTCCCCTCAGTGCTCCCCACTGCCAAAGCCAACTCTCCCCTGCTGACAGCTCCATCCTGTTTGTGGTGTCTTTGGCACTTGCCCCTGCAGCACTTCCAGCCCCCCGTGGCTGTCCAGCCCCCACGGCTCCGGCACAGCCGAGCCAACAGCAACACGGGAGAGAGGCAGAGCCTGCCCTGGAGCCAGCCTGGCCCAGCAGCACCACGGCCTCGGGGTGTGCTCACACCCCACACCAGGCAAACCCACAAGTTCACCCCACAAAGCTCCAGCTCAGGAGATGCCGAGCGTTCAGCAGCTGCCCCAGACTGGGGGACCAACGCCACAATGGCTCAGCTGTGAAAAACACAACTCTGGGGTCAGCAGCAAACTGACAGACTCAACAGCACCAGGGATTCCTCTGACCAAGCAAGCCCCAGCATTTGTGTCACTTACTCCTCAGAGTGCCAGAAATTAAAGAAGGGAAAGGCCAGGGGTTTGTTAGCTTTGTGTTTTATGTGGCTGCAACACGATCAGTCCCGGGGATCATCTTTCCTCTGCCCAGGCAGGTGAGGTGGAAGCCACAGGCTGCAGGTACTGGGCAGTAACTGGATCCTGCAGACCCGGATACAGCCACTGCCAGGAGAAAGTGCCCAGAGAGCCCCTGCTGCAGGGACAGCTCCTAGCACCATGCAGGTAAGTGCTGCAGCCTCTTACAGCTTTCACAGGATTGGGGTTGGAAGGGACCTTAAAGATCATCTCATTCCACCTCCTGCCCATGGGCAGGGACACCTTCCACTTTCCCATGTTGCTCCAAGTCCCATCCAACTTGGCCTTTCCCTCTGGATTCTTACCCTGACAGCTTCCATAGGGCGCTGTCAGGGAAGTAGCAAAAGTTCTCCTTCAAGGACATATTAAAGGGGCATCTCAGGCCTTCATTAACAGGTTAAAAGTAGTCAAAAATTATTCATAGCAAGTCATTCTTCAGTGTTTCCACACACGGATGCACAGAGAGAAGCTTTCAACATGATAACGTCCTTCTCAGTTTGGGATCTCACAGTGCCTCAAGTAGATTTATTAAGTTTCCAGGAGAAAAAATGCCTCACACTGATAATACAAAGACCACGGTCTAAAAGCTGTAATTGCTTTGCATGGATATAGTGTAAAATGAGGGAAAGCCTTTTGGGTTGAGAGGCAAGAAAATTCAGTGTCCATGTTCCTGTTCCCCAGCTGACACTCTGCAGGCTCCGCACGCACCAGTGGTGCTTCATCCTCTTCAATGTCCTGCTTTTCCACGGGCTGCTTTTTGGGGCAGATTTACTGGAGCAATACTTCCTGCAGTCCCTGCCTCTCTCTTACACCGATGCAAAGGCTCTGGAGATCAGGGACAGGGCCAGGAAGCTGGATCTGGATCCTCTGAAGGCCAACCTCTCTTACACCAGCAGCAGTGCAGTGACTTGCTCCAACCAAGAGATATTTCTGCTCATTGTTGTCTGCAGCAGCCCAGAAAACAGGACAAGGCGCAACGCGATCAGGCAGACCTGGGGCAATGCCACAGGCTCCAGGGGTTACAGTGTCCTGACTCTGTTTGCTGTAGGAAAGGCAGCTTCAGCAAGCACCCAGCTGGAGATCAACGAGGAGGCCCAAAAGCACCGAGACATCATCGAAGGCAGTTTCATCGATTCCCCCCAGACGCAGACACAGAAGATGCTGATGAGCGTGGAGTGGACGGTGGCTTTCTGTCCCCGTGCCAGGTACATCCTTCACGCAGCCCAGGACATGTTTGTGGGTGTTCCCAGCCTGGCTGGGTACCTGCTGGGCTTAACCCAGCAGGAGGACATCTACCTTGGCAGGGTGGTGCATCAGGCAGTGCCTGACAGGGACCCCCAGAGCCCTGGCTTTGTCCCCACCCAGCAATACCCCGAGGAGTTCTACCCAGATTTCTGCCACGGCAGCGCTTTCCTCATGTCCCAGGACGTGGCTCGCAAGGTTTACGTGGCTGCCAGGGAGGTGCCACTGGCACTGCCCCCCGCTGCCTTTGTAGGAATCTGTGCTAAAAGAGCTGGCATCACTGCCAGGCACAGCTCCCGCTTCGCCGGGGAGAAGCACATCAGCTACAACCCGTGCTGCTATAAATTCATTTTCACCTCTTCTGACATGAGAGAGGATGAGCTATTTAAAGACTGGAAGGAAACGAGTGATGGGGAGGATTGCTCCTTACTGGAAACCTACTACAGCCTGGTGTCCTGCAAGGTTCTGACCTACATTGATAGATTCAAACAGTTCAACTTGGATAGGATAAAAAATGAGCTCCTTCATTTTGTCAATTAATGGTTAACTTCTGCAAGAAGAGGCTGGATTTTCTTTCATCAGCTGTGTTATCCTGTTAACATTCTGTACAAAGGATGCCCTCCCCAAGTTTGCTCTTTTCCCTTCAGCAGCAAATGAATTCTCACTGTTACAGTGTGACAGAGCAGAACTGGATGTCCTCTGCCTCTCTAAGTACCTACAAGTGCATCCATGGAGGTAAAAAAGAGTATTCCAACAGACTAGTCTATATCCAAGGTTTTTCAGACTTCTGAGTCTTCGAAACTCCTTCTTCATGTGAGTGAGGCATCACCTACTTCCAAAGAATTCTGTAACAAAGGGGAAGCTTTCCATGCACAAAAGGAGCTGCTTCTGAGCAGGCTGGTTCACAGAGAAACAGAGCAGCTCCAGCAGGAACAGACACTGAGCCATCATGGAAACTCCTCAGTTAATGCTGTTTGTTAACATCCATCAAATGACAAGGTTTGGTTTGGGCTTTTTTTTTGTTTCTAAACCAAATGTTCAGCATGTTACCTCAATCCTCCAGCATTTCGTGGTTTTCCTCAATTATCTCCACCTGTTACTTTAAGGGGGGGATGACAAAAACAACACACTTCAAAATTGTCATTTATATCAGATACAGCAGCAGCATGTAATCCATATGGCAATGTACAGAATGGGCAGGGAACTGCATCTGAGTAATAAGGGGAAAGTGATCAATTAATCAATCAACACTGAGCTCAAAGCTCAACAAAATAAAGCATATGTGTATACATAAAAAAATCCCCTTGTTTGGCATCTCTGCACATTCTAAAATATTGTCTTTGGCAAATGTACCATGCAAAGCAGATGCTAAATACTCAGCACACAGAGTAGCCTTCAAAAGCACCAGCTGAAAACACACATGGAAGAGGCTCATGAATTGCAGAACAGGTTTATATATTGATTTCTTTTACTGACATTTCAGCATATGGCTCATACAGAGCCACCAGCACACAAAGCCACCTAAAATAACAGAGCTGAACTGCCCAGAACTAGTGCAAGCTAAGGACTTCTACACTCATTTATTTCCTTTTTAGTGCTTTCGTGTGTTTGCTGAATGCAGGACTCATGAAGCTCCTGTGCTCTCTCAGTCACAAGACACTGCAGTGCATTTCTCACTGGCAGATCTTTATTGGGCACATTCAGGATAAAAGCAGCAGCATTGGGATGCAGGATGACAACTCAGGGACATCTTGGGTTGTGAGCAACAAGGCACCTCACCTGCATTTAGACAGCTTAGCAAACATTGAGGGATCTCCCCCAGCTCCTCTGAGCCCTCATGGGCAGCACTTTTTGGCAGGCAATGCCAGCTGCACCTCCACCTACCACAGGCAAAAGCAGAGTTACTGCAGGACAGGATCCTCCTGCCTCCCCTGGCAGCACAGGGACACGGGGCCAGTACTCCCCAAGCTGCACCTGGCTGACACATCACTGAAAGAAGCCCCAGAGTAGTAATTTCATGTTTTATTCTGCTCCCCCTCAATAAAAAGAATACAAGGCTTTGACAGAAAGTACCCTGTGGTCTCTGTTTATGAGCAAAGACACATCACACGTCATGGAGTGCCCAGCCACTCCTGATTCTCTCCCACAGCTTTGACATCTTCAAAAGAAAATTCCAACTTCCTAAGATGCCACATTTCCATACTCCCAGTTCATTCACTCCCTTCAACACAAGAGCTCCATGTTCTTACCCCTTTCAGTCTAACTCAGGTAACTGAAATACATTTCTTTAAATAACATTTTAAAAAATTGTATCTCTGTTTAAAAAAAAGTGTAAACAATTCAAGATTTGGTTCTGAAGCATCCTTGTAGTGCTGCAGCCACTAAACTGAGCTGCCACCCCACAGCCAACAAGGAACACAAAGCTCCCAGGTGGGTTTGATCCCTACAGAGTGCATTGATTTGTTTTCAAAAGGGCTAAAAACTTTTGTTTTTTAAATCCTCGGCAGAAAATGTAAACAATATTTAGGATTATTTATTCCAGCAAGACTCACATCCAGCAGGTTGAAAACAAAAGAATCTAGTCCATACTCCCTCATGTGGACAGTGTCACTTATTCAGCAACAGGATTCTGACAGAACAGAGTGTTCCATGCAAGTGCCAAATGTGGCAGGTAAAAAAGCTAATTAAAAAAGAATAGAAATTATGGCAGCATCTGAGGTTACAAACCTTGAGGTGTTTTGGTGTTTTTTTTTTTAACTGAACTGTAACCTACTGGGAAAACACAACATAAACTCCAAACACAGGAACAATTTAAACAAACACTGATAAATTCTGCCAAATAAAACACAGTCAGCAGCTGCTAAGTGCTCACCTGGGTTACCTGCCTCATGAAGCACACAGGGAACTTCTGCCATGACAATTTAGGGGGAAATATCAAATAACCTTGCATTTGCTCTCCTGACTCATTTCAAATAGAGTCAAAATATCTTCACATTCCTTTAAAGAGACAACCTCCAGTGCGGAGAGTTTTTCCACCTTGCACCTCAACACCTGTGCCAGGACTGTGCTCTGCAAGAGGGGGACCCCAGACCCAAGGACATTATTCTGCTCCTTCCACAGCTGTAGTAGAAACTGCCTTAACATAATAGGGGCCCTCGTGCAGGTAAGCCCTGAGCCTCAGGTAGTACTGATTGCCAAAGATCTCTGCAATGGTTTTGGAGTTCACCAGGGCCTTCACCAGTTCATATTTTGCATCCTTTGAAGCTTTGTCAGGCTCCACAGATCTGTCCACGATGTACTCCACAAACCCCGGGCTGTTCAGCATCAGCTTCTGGGCCCATGGCTGATTTGCAATGGCCTGAACAGGAAGACAAAAGATGTGAGAGGGAGGAAACATTTTAAAACCCTAAAAAAGCAGTTACACAGTAGGGTTTTTGGTACAGGGACAAGGAACAGGAAAAAATCAAATGAGATAAGAAACCACCACTCAAATCAAGCAGCAGGCTTTAACACTGGAGAACAAGTAGTGCTCAGTGCTTATCTTCAAAGTTTTGAGGGAATTATCACAGCAGTGCCTCTGGTATAGAAGCAGCACCTTAGGTAACTAAAATACATTTCTTTAAGTAACACTTTAACAATTGTATCACTGTTAAAAAAAAAGTGTAAACAATTCAATAATTGGTTCTGAAGTATCCTTGTGCCATTTCAAAGTGCAAACAATTTAAGATTTGGTTCTGAAGTATCCTTGTAGTGCTGCAGTCACTAAACTGAGCTGCCACCCCACAGCCAACAAGGAACATAAAGCTCCCAGGTGGGTTTGATCCTTGCCTTTCTTTCCCCTCTCCAATTTATTAGAAAATTAGCATTACAGACATGATGTGTCCGCTGCATTATTTAAATGGGGAAGCCAAGTAGGGCCTGAGGAAAAAGGCCTTTTTCTGACCACTTCTGGGCTTTAACAAGAAGCTGGTGGTATTCACTTCAAAGAAATAAATAATTCTGAGGCCGAATGGCAACACAAACCACTCCCTGATGCTTAAAACCAAAAGCACTCACAGTAAACACCCGTAAAGCTCCACAGTGGAGATCAGGGAATGGCTGAGTGCTGATGCTTCTGAACAGCTCCAGGGGCTGGCTGGACAAGGATGTGAACCAGGATTCAGTCATTCTTAAAAGGTCTTCTGTCTGCTGCTCTGGCTGTGTAAATCACAAAAATGAGAGTTTGATTAGGATTACAAAAAGCTTTCAGGTTTTTGGGATGTGTTCAAATGGTTTAATCACCCCTTTAGAGCTACACTCTTAACCCAGACCCCTGGATCCAAAGACCACAGGGACTGGAGCAGTTTGTCCCTATCCCTCTGAGCACAAGGATATGGACCTGCTTACCCTCATTCCCTCATCAATAAAGTCTTGATGTCATCTTTTATTAACATTTCAGAACACCTGGCACCTTACAAACAAACCCAGACATTTGAGCAAACCAATCAGGGAATTTGAAAACAGTAAATCAATGAGTCAGAACACTGAAAGCACCACTGCTGCCCAACCTAGAGGCTGCAAAATGTCCCCTCACAGCTCCTCAGGTGTGTGATGATTTCATTCTTGGAGATGCAAAGAGAAAACAAAGAGAAAAAGCCCAACTTACAGGCAAGTAAAGCAGGGATGAAATCGCATCCAAGCACCGAAGCCGTAACTCAGTGGGGGCATTCTTGGCCTGGTGGCCTATTTTGCTTAAGAGATTTTGAAATCTACTTCCTTTCAAAACAAAAACAAAGTTAATTCAGCCAGATCTCCACAGGAATGTAGTTACCCATCGGCTACTCTATGAATTTATTCATTAGATAAGTGAATACATTTTTAATTCCTTTCTGTATCACCCCAAACCAATTCACTCTTATATTATGAAGTATTAAAGAAAAGAAAGATACTAACTAGTTTTCTGTAAAACCTGTTTTCCTTCCACATTTGATCCCAGGATTCCCAGTGTGTCCACAGCCACTCCAATCATGGTTGGATCCTGACTTTCTGCCATTTCAAAGACTTTTTCCATAAAGACAGGGTAGCGCTCACAGATCTGCTGGGGACTGTCCACAACAGCCAGATTGCCAAAAAATTTAACAAATCCTGAGAAAACAAGACCAAAAAAAGCATTGAGTGGAAGAACAGCAACTTCAACACTGGCAAAATTAAAAGTACATTAATGTGAGATTGATTTGTTCCCTAAACATGTGTTATTAAGTCTGAATAGTGTTGGTAAAAAGCTCAAAATAAAGACAGAACTAAGCAACAGGCCAAATATTTTGACTGTTTCTTAATTCATGATGTTTGCACTCCTAAAAAAGGCTACAATAACACAAATTTTAAAGCTACAGCACAGCCTGCCCAGATCTTGCCAAGGAGCATCCTTGACGCGTCAGCATTTTTAAATATCCAGTATTTTACATATCTGACCTGACATTGAGAATTCCCCCTGAGCTTTCGACAGAGAGGCTTGGCAGTGCTGTCAGGTTAACCCACTAGCAAAGCAAGGAGGAATGCAGGGTGGCACCTGGCAGATAGAAGCTGGAGAAGGGATCTGACTCTGCCCCCAGGATGATGTTGGAGATTCTGTCGATGACTCCCTGCTGAGCCAGGTACTGCCGCCCCTGGGGGCTGTGGGCCAGCGAGGTCAGCATCTCTATGCACGTGGCTCTGCAACACACCAGGGCATTCTCCTTGATTTCAGCTGGGGCTAAAGCACTCAGTGATTAAGAAAAAGCAACCACGTCCATAAGACAAAATCCTAGCAAAAAAAACCCCAAATGATCCCAGCTGTTCAAGCTTCTCCGAGCTGGGAAAGAATTCAGTGTTTCTACTGCAGCCAAACATGATAATTATCACCCAGCTTGGTACTCAGATTAAGGAATGAATCTTGGACACTCAAGACAGTTTAAGGAGAGGCACATACAGTGTTTTCCTGAAGAGGGTTTTACAAGAAACACACACAAATACATTTATTAGAGTTTTCACAATGGTGGAAATGTCCTTGGCAAACTCACCAACATACCTGACCAGCACATCCTCTCCAGTCAGCTCCCCAATTAACTCAGGGATTAACCCACTGTTTGCACAGTAATTCAGGGACTCTGCTGACACTGATGAAATCTCCACAATTAACTAAATAAAAGCAAACAGGACAGTTTATAAAAACATTATAATGATTCACTGCATCAGCCAAATACATCTTCCAGTGGTAATTAACCTTACATGTAATAAATATGGAATTAATCAAATTTTTATCATTAACCCAAATGTCTGCCTGAAGCAACTTCATAAGGAGTTCCAAGTTTACAGCACATGCATTTGATCTCTATTCACAACCAGTTCTTCCTGTGCTATCCCCATTAAGCTCTAGAATGTTTAAACTGTGTTATTTCTCCTTTGCCAAACATCTCTAGACTGACGCTGGCATCTCTCCAAAACTCTCAGCAGCACTTCACATCCAAAAGTCAAGAGGCTACAGTTAACTATTTTACTTTTATTTTCAGAGAAACAAACACTTTCTGGTGTCTTAAGTGATTCTGTGTAGCCCTTCCAAAGCCTTTGGGCACTACAAGTTAGAAAATGAACAACAATTCACACTTTTACACCAACAAATGGGAAAGGGAAGTTATGACAGCATGAGAGCCCCCACTGCTGTAATCTTCCTACTCCTTTCTAGTTTTGCTAAAACACAGACACCAAGAAAAGTGGGTAAATCAGAGAGAAACAATAATTTAAAAGCCATGAAGGGCAGGCTGAGAGGCAGGAGCAGCAGAGCAGTACCCACCTCGTAGACCCGGTACCGAACAACGTCACTGGTGGCCATGACACGCCTCAGGTCACCCAGCAGGCTGCTCCCAAACAGAGCCTCCAAACCCTCCTGGCTCTGGGCTATCCTCGACAAAGATTTAATGGCCTGCAAGCAAAAACAGGAGCAAAACCACGCAGAGAAGAAAATCTGAGATTATCAGGTTCAGTTGCAGTGTTCTTTATTAGCTTAACTATAGCTATACGCTTAATTTTAATTATAATTCACTTTGCACTGATGAGAGCTCATTGTTATTGTCATGCAACCACCTCAGCTTGCAGAGGAATGGGACAATAAAGGCACCTTTACCTCTTTGGCCACTGCTATTTTCTCCCCACCAATGCACTTTATGATTTGCTGTAACAGCTCAGGGCTGTGCAGAATCTCTGGGACAGCAGCTGAGTCTTCAACAATCCTCCCAACCTGATCAAAGAGCCACAGAAAATAACATTTGAACAAATTATTTTCCACTGTAAGGATACTCAAGCACTGGAACAGCTGAACAGAAAGCCAGAGTCACAATATTTTGAGGTTTTTGGATCAAAACTCAACTGGACAACACCCAAGCAGCTGCTCTCAGATGAGCTTCAAGAAATCCACCCCAAACCACAACATCTCACAATCCTCTTCTTTTAAATTAATACAGCAAGTGTTGGACTCCCACAGCCTGTTTGGTGTCTCCACAATACTTTAAAATATCTGAATATCAAAATGTTGCTGCTTTTAATTCTTCCTTCACCTGCTGGCATGGAAAGCTTTAACCAGGGCACATGGCAGAATCTTTATTCACAACCTGCTTTTGTCAGGACACAGTTTTGGACATTGTTATTGACATATATACACACTGCAGGGTAATTATCCCAAATGGCACGAGTGCAGGAGACCATTCCTGCTTTTATCACAAACCAAGGCAGGAAAGTGCAGATGGGGACTAAGCCAGAGCTCACCACAGAGCTCTGTCCCCTCCTCCTGGAGCAAACCCTGTACCTGGGACATGGTGAGGATCTTCACAGAGTCGTCGGGGTGGAAAAGGCCCTTCTGCAGCTCTTCCCTGAGGTTCTGGATCACGTAAAGGGGGTCCAGGGCCTGCAGGAGCCTCTCCAGGATGGAAACACACGCGGACACCTGTTCCCTGGGCGGCACGGAGAGAAAACCGAGCCCTTGAGCAGAGGGACACCGCTGTGCCACCTCCCGCCCCGGGAAAGCGGCAGGACACCCCGCCCCGGGAGAACAGCAGCGGGGCCGCTCAGGCTCCGGAGCTCACCGGTCATTGACGGCGAGGAGGCCGAAGAGCGCCCTCAGGTGGTGCTCGCCGAGGCGGGAGCGGAGGGCGGCGAGCGGCACGGCCTGCAGGGCGACCCGCAGGGCCCGCAGCTCCTCCAGCGCCGGGTCCCGCCGCGCCGCCCGCTCCAGCAGCTCCGCCGCCGCCTCCGCCATCTTGGCCGCCGCCTCCGCCATCTCCCGCGGGTCTCGCGAGAACTCGCGTCGCCCGTAGCGACCGCCGGGCGGAGATATCGCGAGAACTCAGGTGGCCCATAGCAACCGCCGCGCCGTTGCTAAGGACGCCCTTTGCGTCCGCCAGGATGTAAACAAAATGTCCGCCCCGGCGGCTGCGCGCGGAGGGGGCGTGCCCCAGTAATGAGGGGCGTGCCCCCAGTAAAGAGGGGCGTGCCCCAGTAATGAGGGGCGTGGTCCCAGTACAGAGGGGGCGTGGTCCCAGTACAGAGGGGGCGTGGTCCCATCGCCATGGAGGCTCTCCATTCCCTGAGGGGGGGTGGAGGTCGGTGCACGGCGTCGCCGTTTTTTGGGGAAACTGCGATAAACGGCGTTTATTTGGGCTCGGGAAGGGAAAGCGCTGATCCCGGGGGAGCAGGAACAGCCGGTCCCACCCCGGTGTGTGCCCGGGGCAGCTCCCTGTGCCAGCTCCTCGTGTGTTCAGCTGGATTTTCTCACCTTTTGCAAACAAACTGATGTTGTCAGACATAACTCCTGTAACTTCGCGCTTCCAGCTCTGCCACAGATTACATCCCCCAAATAAATCTGCAATAGCCAGGCGGGTCCCGCAGGCTGGCAGGGAGGGAATTCTCCTGGCACGCTGTGGGAACAGACAGGGGGACAATAAAAGTTCCACGGGAGACAATAAAAAGTTCCACGGGGGACAATAAAGGTACAGCGTGAGACAAACAGCGCTCGGCTCCTCTGCCCCGGGAGGTTTTGGGCACAAACACCTCGCCAGGACTCAGCCCCTGCTCTGGTTTCTATCCAGAGAGCCGCAGCCAGACGAAATCTGAGGAAATCAGTTTTATAGAGAGGGAAATCTAAGAAAGGTGATAAATGGGGTCAGCGCGGCTCAGAGCTGGGAGGGCTCCAGCGCTGGTTCGGGGGGACAGCCTGCAAACCCCAGCAGTCCCGTCCCACTTTTGGGGTGCCAAGCCGCGGTGTTTGTCCCCCCAGCTCTGCGGGGCAGGCAGGGGCAGGGTGGGGTGCGGAGGAGGAGGAGGAGGAGGAGGAGGAGGAGGAGGAGGAGGAGGAGGAGGAGCCGCAGCGCTCCCGGCTCGGGCACAGCAGGTGGAGCGGCCGGCGGACATGGAGGGGCTGAGCCAGCGCTGCCCGCTGCCCCCCGCCTGCCAGGGCTGCCCCCGGCCCGGCCGCGGCGCCGTGCTGCTGGTGAGTGCGGCTGGGCAGCGACCGACACGGGGTGGGCACGGGCAGGGACACCGGGATGGACACCGGGATGGACACGGGGATGGATGGACACAGGGATGGACATGGGGATGGACACCGGGATGGATGGACACAGGGATGGACATGGGGATGGACACCGGGATGGACACCGGGATGGATGGACATGGGGATGGACATGGGGATGGACACCGGGATGGATGGACATGGGGATGGATGGACACAGGGATGGATGGACATGGAGATGGACACTGGGATGGATGGACACAGGGATGGACATGGGGATGGACACCGGGATGGATGGACACAGGGATGGACATGGGGATGGACACCGGGATGGATGGACACAGGGATGGATACTGGGATGGACATGGGGGTGGATAGACACAGCGGTGGACACAGGGATGGATGGACACCAGGATAGACATGGGGATGAGGATGGACACAGGGATGGGATGGACACAGGGCTGGGATGAGGATGGACACAGGGATGGGATGGACACAAGGATGGTATGGACACAGGGCTGGGATGGGGATGGACACAGGGCTGGGATGGACACTGGGATGGACACAGGGATGAGGATGGACACAGGGATGGGGATGGACACTGGGATGGACACAGGGATGGCAATGGACACAGGGATGGGGATGGATACAAGGATGGGATGGACACAGGGATGGGATGGGGATGCAGGACTTGGGACACTCCCTGGGGAGCACAACAGACACCAACCCATGCCAAGCAACCATGGAAATATCCGTCTGTACCTTTGGCAGCAAACCTCTCCCCAGAAGCGTTGTGCAAGAGGGGTGGACTCCCTGTGTCTGCTGGGAGAGAAGCAAATTTTCAAGTTTTTTTACACTCAGCATCGCCACAAGTTGTGTTCAGGTGGTGTTCAGTTGGGGTTTTTAACAGAATCTCATCAAAACTAGGCAAAAAGTCCTAGCATGGTGATTCTAAACCTAAAGCTGGTTTCAGTTCACAAAAGCCAGAAGAAGTGTTGCAGAAATCTGAGTCTCTCTGCACTAAACTGGCATTTTGCTGCTCAGTGCTTTTCAGCAAAGGTCTTAAATCCTCATAGGGGTGTTTTCAGTTTTGTTCACTTCAGTATTTTGGCAATCAGGAGTTTAATTGGTTTATCAGGCAGGAATCCTGACGTTTCACTCCTCTCTTGCATCATCCCTTTGGCAAATACAATTAGTCTGGGATAAAAGAGGAAAAAGTCTTCTTTTTCATAAAAAAAAAGCAGAGTGGGGAGAAACACTGGAAAAACAACAATATTGTTCATGTTTGTACTAATATTCAATCACACGTGATCCTGGGGATTTCCTCATCACATGCACATACATCTTACAAGAAGATTAATGATCTCAGGCTGAACAGGTTGGATGCTTTTTTTTTCCCTGAGCAAGGACATGATTACATTTTAATCTGGAAAAATAGGTGCACCAGCACATCTCTATTTGGCTTGTAACTCACTGAGTAGCTTCTGGGATTTGTTGTATAATATTTGTTAAATGGCTTAGTGGGAAAAAAGGAGCACAGAAGGAGCTCTAAAAATTATGATGAGAAGTCTTGTGGTAAGAAAGAATATTTCCTCAAATGGACTGGGAAAGAGGAGACAAGCAATAGAGCACATCAGTCATTTTCCAAATGGGAAAGAGCTCCTGGCTTTGTGGTGACAAGAGAGATTTTTAATTCAATGAAAAAGAGAAAGAGAGAGAAAGAAAGAAAGAGAGAAAGAGAGAAAGAAGAGAGATTTCTATATTAGTACTGTAATGTCAGGTTTTTCAGAGTACAAAGGAGGGTGGAAACAAGTGGGGAAAAGGAATATATTCTTAAATCACTGTAGCTGAATCAGGGCCAGATGCTGTTTATGTCAAAAACAAAACAAAAGACAAAGGGAAGGCGCTGCAGCCCAGAATGGCACCGTCCTTCAGCTGCTCCTCAGCACTCCAAGTTAACCTCACCGTTCCCACAGTATCCCTGCTGGGATGATGGGATCTTTTTGGGAGGCTGTTGGTGGCATGTGAGCACAAGCAGCAGTGGAGGGGCCTGCCAGGAGCAGCATCTCCTGCACAGCAAACTCCACTTGTTGCTGCTGCTCAGTTTGCCACGGGCAGAGCCTTGGTGTCCGTGCAGCCCTGCAGAGCTGGGCAGTGTACGCTGAGATTTCTGTGCCCCACAGCATCCTGCTTCTGGCAGCAGGTAATTCAGATGAGATGGATTTACAGCCCAATTCAAAGTCGGGCTGTGAGGCTGGAGCGTGGTCGGGGTGGGCTGCAGAGGGCTGTGGCAGAGGGGAATAACCCGACAGGGCAGGATGGAGATTCCCCTGGTCCTGGCACCGAATCTGTTTCCCATGAAGAAATCACTGACATCCTGCTCTCCCCCTGCCCACATCCCCAGGGAGCAGAGGGTCCTGTCCCCCTCGTTTCTCAGAGGGATGGACACACCTCACCCCTGGCACACAGCTGAAGGGTGGCTACAGATGTGTCCTGAGCAGGAGAGCTGTGCTGGTGTGGGAACCATTCCCTTCTTGCTCTTTTTTGCACTAGAAACCCAGACATTCCATGTTATACCCCTTAATCTTCCGCAGAAAACCAGTCCTGGCTGCTGTGGTTGGGTGGTGGGGTCTGGAACCCCCATTAGGCTGAAGGTGACCTCCCACAGTCGAAACCTGGGCAGCCCTGGGCTGATACAGCCTCAGTGCTGCCCCTCTCCTGCCCTGAGCACGAGATTGGCCCTCTTGGAGGGGAATGAACCCCTTAGGAGCAGGTTCTCACCTTATTTAACTGGTTCTTGCAATGCTGAGGGAACCCTGGCAACATCCTTCAAACCACGCACAACGTAAAAGCCGTTTTCCAAAGTGCACTGCCTCACCTCCTGGTGTTCTCCCCGAGGTGCTGGGGCTGCTGGTGCTCACGTACCCCCTGCTCTGGGGCCTGGCTCTGCAGCTGCACTCGGCTGTCACCGGCAGCTATGTCCCAGGGACAGACTCCATCGCCTTCGTCAGCTGCCTCAACGAGCAGATCGCCAGGGACATCGCCAGGTACGGCCACGCTCCCCTGCCCGCCTGCTCCAGGCTCCAAGGCTGGGATAAAGCTGAAAATCTCCTTGTCCTTCTGTCCTTGCAATTCTAGGCCCTCAGGGTGCCCAGAGAAGCTGTGGCTGCCCCAGCCCTGGCAGCGTTTGAGGCCAGGTTGGACAGGGCTTGGGGCAGGAGACAGCGGATAGTGGAAGTGTCCCTGCCGTGGCAGGGGCTGGAGTGACATCAGATTTAACCCAAACCATCCTGGGATTCTGTGATACCCAAGCAATGCTCCTTTCCACCAAGCCCTTGCCAAGAGCTGTCCCAAGGAAAGCTGACATTTGCCTCTGAAGTCAATGCCATGGTAACAGCAAGCAATTCTCAATGGATTTCACTGCCTTGCATTTTCAAGACCCGTTTTCTTGACCCTGAATTTCGGGGTTCTCAGAGGGATTAAGCTCCAACCTGATGCTCTCTGATCTGTCACTGTCTTTATTCCTCTCTAGAACAACACAGACAACAAAATGCCAGGAGGGATATTTATAAAGAGAGACAAAGCACAGTGCTCTGACATGAAAATAAAGGAAGTATGAAAGGGGTCCACAACAAACACTTGTGAGGTACCACTGCTCACCAGGCAAACTTCAGGGAATGAGGGTTTTCCTCGGTTTTTTCCTCCCTTCTATTTTAATATATGAGATACTTTGCGTGATATTTTGCATGCAGAGTTCTTTTCACACATCTGTCAGTCCCTGACTCAATGGATGGTCTGTTCAAAGAACTGAACCCGTGTTGACTGGGGAAGTGTTTATGATGGACGGTGAAGTTTCCTGCAACACCTCCTGCTCTGTTTTCCTGCTGCCCTGCTGCTGCCAAAACCCCTCCACCTCCAGCAAAGTGCTCCCAGACATGTTCAGGAACTGACAGGCTACTGAAAGGGAGTTTGTGTCACCTTAAATACTGCAACTGTATTAAGGAGTTCAAATAGAATTATGTCTGCACTGCTCGATGTCTCCTGAAAAAAAAAAAAAGGAGCAACTGTACCTGGTGAAAAGAGCCTCAGTTCCTGAAAATGCCTCATCTCAACAGCTTTGCAAATGCTTTCCACTCTTTGTTCCTCATCTTGCAGGGAAGGGAGAGGAGATAAATCACTCCCCCTTGCTGAGATATGTGTACTTTGGTTGTGGTTTTACTGGTGGAGTAATTATTGCTTTGTTCTGGAACTGGGAGCAGTGAGCCCTGGCTGCAGGGGATGACACAGGGCTTCTACACTCATCTTCCCCCACTCCTTTTCCTGTGTTTATTCTTCCTTTGCACTGCTCAGTGGAGCCCTCACTCAGATGGATCAGTCTGCAAGGAAATTTTCCACTGGTTTCAGGAAAAGGGGTTCAAGCTTTGGGAAAGCAGAAGAGCTGCAGGTAGAATTCAGCATCTCAAGACCTTCTTGCCTGTGTTCATCATTTCCTTTGCTTTTATGCTTATTAATATTTAATCTGTCTCACTTCAGGGCAAAGAAACACACAATTAAGTACTCAACCCAAAGCTATCATGTATTATGCAGACATTTTCCACAGATCACATTCAGCTTCTTACAATGTCCTCTGTTCCCCTGGTGGCCTCTTGTTGCTGCTCGGCTTGCTGGGACAAAGTCCAGGATCTCAGGATCTCAATTTATTGGGACAGAGCACTGAAACCAAAGGGTTCCTGTGCTAAAGGAACTTGCAAGTAGCAGGCAGCAAATGCAAACTGACTTGTGCCATGTGTGACATGACAGGCACAGCAGGGGTGGCTCTGCTCGTGCTGCTGCACTTTGTTGGTCTAAAGATTAACTCAAGATGCTCCACGAGCATTAAATGCCTGGAACTGCCTACACATGGTGAGAGCAAACAACCCTGAGCCTCCTGGGGTGCTTTTCCTCTCTAACCATGTTGGTTTGCCAGTGTTAAAGCAAACCAAAGGTGGGGTCATCGGTGCCCTGCCTGGAGGGATGGCTGAAGGGCCAGACGCTGCTCGGGTCACCAAACACAACATTTGCCTCCTTTCTTCTAAAAATCCTCCCTGAGATGGGTTCAGTGCTCTGTAATCTCTGAAGTGTCACTGCTGCTGGCAGCCCTGAGCAGTTCTGCAATAACAAACCAAACCACAACTAACAGAGGCAGCCCGAGGGAAGGAATCTAGCTGGGCTTCAGATTTCTAGGATATTTTGGGTTGAAAAACCTTTTTTTTTTTTTTATTTCACAAGATGCAGATTTAGGCTGCTCTGGGAGGAAGGGGCACAGTTGGATAGTGGCAAACCCCTTCCTGTCCATCCCAGGCCAGCTTTTTGCAGTCCCACGCTTGAGTCCCTGCCCTGGTGACCCCACAGCCAGAGGGGCAGAGGGCTGGCACTGGGCACTGCTCCAGGCCAGGAGCAGCACCCAAACTCCCTCCTCAGCACAGGGAGGGTCCCAGAGCCCTTCCAGAAGGGCCTGATCTGAAGCATCTCCAGCCAAAGTTCACCTTTGGCTCTGTTTTCTCAGGGTAATAAGTAACCCAAAATTCCGTGTCTCCAATGTCAAAGCTGCTGCTGCCAGTCCTGGGCAGCACAAGGGGATGTCCCCAAGGCTGGGGGTGAGCACTGAGCTGGGCTGGCACTGATTTCCCTCCTGTGTCCCCCAGGGCCATCATGGATAAGAGACTGGCTGCCTACGTGAACATCCTGCCCCAGAGCTCGGCCTTGTAAGTTGTGCTGGATACTCCCCAAGGGAGGAGCAAACCTGGCCTCTGCAGGGAGGGAAGGAGGGCATGGACACAAGCCTTGGTTCCAGAAGGCTGCTGGGTGTGTTTGTTGTTGCAGATGGTGGGGACGAGCCTCACTGTGCTCGGAGCTTATTGAGAAGCTCATGCCCGTGGGGCTCATTCATATTTTGGTCACTTGGCTGCACAGACATCCAGCAATTTAGGGTTTGTGGTCCTGAGGACGTGGTGCCTGTTATTAAAGACTCTAAAAAGCAGCCAAAATAGGGACCAGGAAGCGCCTTTGCAAAATGAAGCAGCTTTTTCAGGCAGGAAGAAGAGCAGGTTTGACCTTGGAACAGGCCCAGCCCTGCTCTGCAGGTGTCCTCAGCTGTCCATGCAAAGGGACTGCACTTGTTGGAGGGGCTCAAGAACAAAGCCCCAAAACAGCTTTTCCTCACAGAAACACCCTGGCTGAAGCGAGGAGCAGATCCCACCACAGCTTCCCTCGGGAGGGGATCCCACAGTGCACCCCCACATCCACCTGAGGGCAAACCCTTCTTCCCCTTACCCATCATTTCCTAAAAACCCAAAGAGCCGGTGCAGGGCTGCCCCTGCCCAGCCCCGGCAGCTCCAGCCGGATTCTGCTCCAGCACACCTCCACCCTCCAGCCCTCCCCGAGCAGGAGCCCTGCGGGCAGATGAGATCAGGACAGCTCCTGGCAGCGGAAATGTTTTGAAAGGTCACATCTGAGTCATGAGAAGTGCAGCTCCTCTCCTACAGGGAAAGGGAGGAAGAAAGCTCAGCCTCCCGGCCACGATCCCTGCAGGAACTGTCCCCCAGCCACTGCTCAGAGCCACCAGCACAGGACACCCCAGCCCCAGCAAATCTGCCCTGCCAGATAAATTCTGCCATGGCAAATTCTCTGGAGGAGCCTCTTGTCCATAAAGCTGGGGTGCTCATTGATGTGCCCAGCAGTTTTGGGGCCAGCAATGCTTCTTTGTAAAGAAATGGCCACGTGCAAAAAAACACCAAAGCAGGGAAAATAACCCGAGGGTTGGGACGGCTGCAGCAGAGCTGGATTTGCTGATGCAGCTTTTCTTTTAAATCCAGGTATTTCTGGAAAGGGGAACTGGAAGAATCCACTGAAATACTGCTGGTGAGTGATCGTTCCCTACATCACAAATATCCCTGCTGCAAACGGCCCCAGCTGCAAGGGGCTGCAGGGAGGTTTGGGGAGGGTGGCACCAACCTGCTGGGTTTGGGAGGAGCCCTGGGAGAGCTCCTGTCACAGCCCTGGCCGTGCTGGGTGGGGACACGATCCCTCCATCCCTCCACATCTCCCTTGGGCTTCCTTTTGGTTTTTTACTCTCAGCAGCTGGTGAAAACAAGGACGTCCAAAATAGGGGAATTGTCCAACTACGTCAGGTGAGGCTCTGGCTCCACAGGAGCACTGGGTGTCCCATCCAAGGTAGGCCGTCACCTCCTGCTCCAGCTTTGGGGGTTCCTTGAGTCCCGTCCCACCCAGGGGGGTTAAGTGCTCCTGCTGTATCTTACAAGCCGGAAAAACCCAGAGATGGCATCAGCAAAAAGGAAAAGGCGGCAGAAATATCAACTGCTGGGCTTCACGCAGCCCTGCGTGCTGGATTCCATGGGGGATTCTCCTCCTCACGCAGGTTATTATTCCCTGACAGGATTTCCTGCGGCTCCCAGGGGGGAGCACTCTCAGCTTGGGGCAGGCCCCCGGCAGTCTGCGGTAAACCCCAAACTCAAAGCAAAATTCCCAGAAAGAAGCTGCGGGTGCTTTGAAGCCGGGAGGGCGCGGGCAGGGCTGGAGCGCGGCTTCCTGCGGGGCTGCCGCTGACTCTGCTCCTCCTGTTTCCACTTTAGATCCATCCATCCCTTTGAAATGCCCGAAATCATCAGCCTGCCTATTGACCAAGGAAACCCTGTCTACCTCAAATGGATAGAGGAGAACGTCCCACGGCACTGAGTGCTGCTCATTTTTGGGGACACCGAGACCCCGCTGAGCCGCGCGGAGGAGCTTTTATCCTCTCGGCTTCGCTGTGACCCCGCAATTTGGGGGTCGGGGACCCTCCTCCCCTCGGGAGCAGCCCGGAGCCGGCGCGGGCTGGGCTGGGGAAGGGCCGCCAGCACCGAAACTGCGGCTGAGGACGGGCGGAGATGTCCCTGCCAGGACACTGCGGCTGCCCCGGGCTGTCAGCAGCGAATTCCAGCTGGGAGCCGTGTGGCAGCCCCGCGGTGCCCCGTGTCCCCACGGGCAGCCTGACCCCGCCTGTCCCCGGGTGCTGGCAGCATCCTGCCCGCAGGATGTGCCCGGGCACCCGGCCGTGCCAACCCGCCCCGCAGAGCCCCGCAAACACCGCAAGGATTGAGATCCCCCTGCCACGGAGAGCTGGGATGAGCTGGGCAAGAGCCACGGGTCCAGCAGGACCACGGCCCTGCCCTGTGAGCTGCCCCCACCTGAGCTGTGCCTTTGTGCCTAAGCCGAGCTGAACTTTGTGAAAAGATTCTCGTGTTAATGGTTTCTGGGACATAACTTAGGCAACGTTTTTGGGTTATTTATGTGACTGGGAAGGGAATAAACAGGAGTTTCTTACCTGGCTCTTGTGGTCGCAGCTGGGCAGGAGGAAAGGCCTGTCCTGGGCTTGCACACCTCAGGGCACACCTCACCTGGCACAGAACACAACCCAGCAGCACCAGCTGCCCCGTGGTGGGCACTGGGGCACCCCAACCCAATGATCCTCACGCTACAAAAAAACAGACTTTGAAAAAAACCTGCTTTTTAATTGTACATCAGACATATTAATTACAACTTGGGTATAACGAGAGGTGCTTACAAGCAGCAACCTGAACTCAGAAATCAGAAGGTGCACAGAGTTGTTATAATCTCTATCACAGCGAATGCAAAATATACTCTGCAGCAAAAATACTTTTAAAGGCTCCACATTCAATTCTCTGCAAGAAGCCAGGAGAGGAGGAGAGGGAACAGAGAGGGAGCAGAGAGGAGCCAGAGCCAGATCCTGTGGGTGCTCCCACAGGTACACCCCACAGGCATAACCCTGCTCAGCCCTGGCACAGCTCTTGGCAGCCCCTTGGAAGGGCTCCATAGGCACTGAGAAAGAGAAATATTTGAAGTGATCCTTCAAGGACAAAGCTAAAGCAGGACAGGCAGTTCTCCAGCTGCTGGACCCCTCCCTGCCAGGGAAGGGGGGCCTGGCAGCACCTCTCCCAAAAGGACAGGGACACTCTGCTCTGCATGAGCTGAGATCCCACAAGCACAGGACAGGCTCTGCTGATGGACAGGACCCCACAGCCCAGCATGGCCCACCCATGGGAGGATGGGGGATAGATGAAGAGGACTTTAAAAATATCTCTGTCTCTCTAAAGGATAAAAATCTAACGTATTTATCTGCTATTAGAATCTTTTTTAAAAAGCCAACTGCTGTGCTCCTGCCCAAGCTGGCAGTATTGCTTTGTTAAAGGAGGGGGCTGCTCCTTCTCTCCTGCAGACAAATCAAGCCCAGTGCTCACAAACGTCACCACTGCAAGAGGCACAGCCAGGAGGCCACAGGGATGGCCACAGGGACAGCCCAGGGGTGGCCACAGGGACAGCCCAGGGGTGGCCACAGGGATGGCCACAGGCACCCCAGCACAGCCCCTGCCCCTGCTGTCCTCTTCAGCCTTTTTTTGGTTTGTCTGCTGGTTTGGCACATTTGGGATGAAGATTCCTGTAGAAACAAAGGCCTTGGGCTCCCGTCTGTGAAGTGCCCACGGTGGTTTTAAGGCAAAGGAGGATTTTTTGGAAGATCTCTTCCAAGATCATGATTGTCAGAACGGTGAAATGGAGCTGGTGCAGCACCACACACAGTCCAGGTTGTGGGGTGAGAGCACATCTGCCCCATGGCTGCAACAGCCACCTGTGGGCTGATTTTGGGGCATTTTCCTCTCATATAAAACAAACCACATTCCTTTAATGAATGGATTCTGGATGAGGTGAAAAACCCCAAGAGCTGTCCCAGTTTCCCGTGGGCACAGGGACGAGCTGCGAGAGCCCAGGGATCAGGAGGGGTTTGTGTTTTGGCAGCAGGACCCCCTCGAGGCTGCTCAGGCAGGCTGGGGCAGCGGGATGAGCCGGGCTGTGCCAGGCACAGGCTGGGGTCCCTCAGTGTGAGCTGGGTGTGGGGTGCCCCCCAAGCAGCTGCTCCAGCTGTGCCAGGGGAACCCTTCTAGAAAGGCCAGGCCCCCACCCTGCTCTGAGCACCACTGGGCTCCATCAGGAGGGCACGGCTGGGCCACGCTCTGCATAAAGGCAGCCAAGGAACTAAAAATCGTTAACATTAAAAAAAAAAACCAGAGTGCCAGGGCTTCAGGTTTCGTTCCTGGGCAGCCCTGCCCGGGCGCTGCCTCCACCGGGGGGAGGGACCAGCACCTCTCCTGCGCCCCACGGGCTTCCCCAGCAGCCCGATCTCCTCCGCTCTGGCTCCGGGAGAGGGTTCGGGGCTGGCGGGGTTCAGTAGGGGGTCGTGCCTTCCCACTCCACCAGGTACTGCACCTTCCCCTCCAGCGTCACCCGCCGCGCCAGCACCTGGTACTTCTCCCCGCACACCAGCCGGCCCGCGGCCCCGAAGTAGCTGCTGATGGACGACTTGAGGTGGGAGAGCGAGGAGTCGTCCTCGCTGATGCTCTCGAAGGTGTGGCTGTCGATGCCGTCGTCGGGGCGCTCGGGGCCGGCCGCCGCCTCGCTGCCCTCGGGGGTGGCCGCGGCCGGGCGCCCGCCCAGCTCGCCCCCTCTCCGCTTGGCCCCCGAGGCGTAGGCTGGCACCGCCAGCTTGCGCTTGCGGCTGCCCACGGTCCTGCGGCTGCCGGGGAGGGCACAGGGCACGAGTGAGGGCAGCACCCAAAAGGTTCCTCCCCGTGCTGGCTTCTGGAGGGAGGCAGGAATTTGGGGGAGCCCAGCAAGGACTGATGGCTTTGACCCTATGCCCCCAGCAAGTGTCACTCTGGGACCCCCAGCCCGTTTTGGGGCACAGGCAGGAAAAGCTCCCCAGGGTGGGACATGAAGAGGGGAGACACAAGCCCTCAGCCCCCTGGCCATGCCACCAGGACCCCTCCAGAAGGGGGCAAGGGGCACAGTCCTCACCTGGACTCATAGGAGAGGCTCGTGGTGGCCGAGCCCGAGGTGCTGGTGGCATCTGTGGAGTCCACATCCGACAGGAAAGTCTGTCCTGAGCTGGCACTGTGGATAGGGATGGGACAGCTGGGATGCAGCATGGCCCCCAGCCTGGCACAAGCAGCACCCCTGGCCCCCAGAGCGCTGGTCTGGCTGCACGGACCTTTTCAGGCTCTGGATCTCATCCAGCGTGAAGTCGAAGATGCTGGCCAGGTGGTGGTTGGTGCTCCAGGCCGAGGTGAAGTCACTCTGTCACAAAAACGAGCTCACTCCTCACTGCCTGGCGCGGGGGTGCTGCCCACACCCCAACCCTGGCACCCTCTGCCCGGGGCCACCGCGCTCCTTCCCAGGCCCCGCTGCCCCGGGGAGTGGCCTGGGCAAGGGACACTTCCCAAAGCGGGGGACAGGAGCTGTCCCCGCCCTGCGGCAGCCCCAGGCCTGGGCAGTGCCAGAGAGAAGGGGGGCGAGGGACTCACGCTGGGAATGGCATCCTCCAGCAGGAACTTGGCCCTCTTGCGCCGCGCTCGCCGCTTCTGCTGCTGCAGCTGCCGCGGCAGGAGGCTGCAAACAGGGCGTGCGGTGGGCGCGGGCAGGGCGCTGCTGCTGCTGCGGGGCTGTGCGGGGCAGCGGGGCACTCACCCGTCCTTATGGGCATATTTGCTCTTCCCCTTCTTCTTCAGCTCACAGGAGCCGCTGTCGCCCTCGCCGGGGGCTTTCTCCGGCAGCACCTTGCTGGGGGGGTTCGGGGGGACGCGGATGCGCAGGCGGAAGATGCATTTCTTCTTTTTGATCTCCTTGCCGCACAGAAACCTGGGCGGCGAGGGGAGGGGGCAGCCCTCAGGCAGGCGGGCACGGAGCATCCCACAGGGCCGGCTGCGGCCGTGCCCGCCCCGCCTCACCTGCTCTTGTAGCTGTTGAGGGCGTTGAGGAGGTGGGGGCCGCGCTCGGAGATCGGGGTGCCCGTGAGCTGCGGGACAGGACGGGGGGCAGGCAGGGCTCAGCGCCCGCTGCGCTTATGCCAACTCCAGACAGACGGGGGAAGCCGAACTCCGGCTTTCGCCTCCTGCCCGCGGCCGGGGAGGGAGGGAGGCAGGCAAGGAGGGAGCCAAAGCTCGGCCAGAGCCACCCCGTCCTCCCCGGGGATGGGTTTCCAGCACGCCTCGGTGCGAGTGCTTCTCCCAGCTGGGAGAGGTGTCAGGTCTGACACTCCAATGAGGGAAATCCCAGCGCAGAGGAAGGGGATTAAGCTCCTCTGGAGCAGGAGGTGCCGTGCTGAGTGCTGCACGAGCTGGGGTGACATTTCTCACTCCCATGGCTGCTCTCCAGCACAAGCCCAGGGGGTGTTTGTACCTTCCCGAGCTGCAGCGGGTCCCAGTGGTGGTTCACGAAGGCCAAGATCTCCTCAAAGTCAAAGTATTTCTTCTTGCTCTGCACACCCAGGTTGTAGAGGGCAAGATGGACGATGTCCACCCTGCAGCAAAGGGGGGCACAGGGTCAGCAGCCCTGGCAAGATGGTGCAACCACCATGCCCTGTTCTGCCAGCGCCACTACAGCTCCCAGGACCTCCCAAACCCACCACTGGAACCTTCCCACTCTTCACAGGGAAGGCAACCCAGCCCAGAGATGTTTCTGAGCAGATGCCACAGCCAGGACAGCATCCCTTCAGCTTTGGGGAGAGGTGGCACGCTGCCTGCAGCTGGGGGAAAACCCAAACACACAATCCTAGAATGCTTTGTGTTGGAAGGAGGCTTCAAAATCGTCCAGTCCTGTCCCCTGCCATGGGCAGGGACACCTCCCACTAAACTAGGTTGCTCCAAGCCCTGTCCAGCCTGGTCCTGAGCACTTGCAGGGAGCAGCCAGCCTGGTGTCACATCCCAGAGCCACCCGGGCACATCCCAAAGGAGGCAGGGCCTGTTTCTCACCATCGCAGGGGCAGGCGCTTGATGTATTCCGGCCCCTGGTTGCACACAGAGCAGAAAAACACGTAGAACCTGGAAAACATCAGGGAAAATGCTGGGAGCGAGGATCACACACAGCTGTGCAGGGCCCAGGTGGGACAGTGCCAACGGTGACAGCAAGGCCAGGAGGAGTGGGCTCTGTGGGGCAGGGCCTGACCCGTGCTGGTGTCAGATGGATCAGGGACACACAGCCAGGGCCAGAAGGGCCGTACCGGTCTCCGAACATCATGGGGTCACTGAGGCACTGGGTGCAGGCTTCGTGGAACCACTGCCGGCAGCGGTAGCACTGCAGCATCTTCAGGTACCACCTGGGCAGGGACAGAACGGTGACAGTGAGGGCAGCGTGTGGCAGCCACTGCCCCGGTCCCCTCCCAGACACAGAGCCCCAGGCAGGGAGAGAACTGCGTCCCTCACTGGTGTTTCTGTGCAAACAGAGAGCCAGATGGCAGAGGCAGCGTGGGGAGCAGAACCACTGGCCTCAGGGCAGTGCCCTGCACGCCAGGGATCAAACATGCCCACCCTGATCCCACCTTCCTTTCCCCACGAAGCCAATGGTGACACAGGCCAGCCTTACTCTCCGGGGCCGCCGCAGTAGCAGTAGCACTGCTGCTGGTTGGTGCGGTGCGGGGAATCCCACTCCAGCAGCTCGGGGTTGTAGGATAGCACCATCTTCACGGCTTGCAGCGTCCTGGCAATGGCTCCTTTCTTCAGGGCACCCCCTTTCTGTGGGAGAGCCAGGGCCGGGCTCAGCACAGCCCCCGGGGAGCCCGTCCTGCCCCGCCGTGCCGGGGACGGGCGGCGCACGGAGCCGGGAGCGCGGGGCAGCCCCACTCACCCGCACGGCCAGGGCAAAAATGCAGCGGCGGCAGAACCACGGCGTCCCCAGCGGGCCCTCGCCACCGCTCGCCACCGGGATGTGGCACTGCTGGTGGTAACCTGCGGCAGGGCTCGGCATCAGCCCAGCCTCGCCCGGGGTGGGCACGGCAAGGCCCGGGGTGGCACACCCACACTCACCCAGCCCGCACTTCCCGCAGATGAGGATTTCGTTCCTGGGGCCCGACTTCTTCCCCAGGCAGATGCTGCACTTGGGCTCCTCCCCCGGGACGCCGGCTGTGGGACCAGGGTGACAGAGGTGGCACGGCCACATCCCCGTGCTGCTGGGAAGGGTCCCGCAGCATGGCAGCGGGAAAGGGAGGCTGGGGCGACACTCACCATGCTGGATGTCCTTCCAGAGGACCCAGTACTTGGAGTTATCCTCAAACGTGACGAGGCAGCTCTGCTTGGAGCCGCTCACCTGCCAGAAGAGAGCAGGAAGAACCGCTGTGGGTCAGCTCCCATTCCCAGCACTTCCCTCTTTTCCTTGGTGCCTGATGCTGTCTCTCGGGGCTGCGGGCAGTCAGGTTTGGGGCGTGACACCCGGGGCAGGATGCCAACCCAAAACGCCCTGCTGACCGAGGACGCACCGCAGCCCAGGCCACGAACTGGGCCGGGAAACGGCACCGGCTCCGCTGGCGCTGGCACCTCTTCGGGTTCTCCCGTTCCCCCGGGGGTGCCCGCGTTACCCTCTTGATCTTGCCGAGGTAGTAGAGCCCGTCTGTCCAGCGGCACAGCACGTACTGCCCCTCGGTGAGCCGGACCATCAGCTCCCGGCAGCCGCTGCCGCGCCGCGCCGAGCCCGCTGCCGGCGGGACACGGCCGTACACGTCCCGGCCCAGCGGCTTCAGCTCCGTGGTCTCCATCAGCAGAGCCTGCAGGGGACACACACGCTGTCACCGCTCGGCACGGCACCACATCAGCCCGCCGCAGCATCCCTGAGCGTTTTGCCTGGGAGGAATGAGGCTGCCCCACCAGCAGGGGCCCAGGACACTGCAAAACAGAGTCGATGAGACGGTTCCTTTCCACGAAATCCAGGGAGCAGCCAAATCTTTGCTACTGGCGAACAAGAGGGAATTAACCCCTGGCAGGCTTCCACAGCACTGGGACACGCCACAGGTCCGCATGGTTCAGTTTTGGGAAGGGGCACATAAGGAATAAAAGCTTTAAATGTACTGTGATTTTAAAACCACCATTTCCCGCAGTTTTGCGGGCTCCCAAACCACCGGGACTGCTGCAGGAGCAGGGATGTGCCAGCACCACCCACCGCGAGCGAACCCAGGCGGCCAAATGTCACCGCCACGAGGTTTGGGGGGCAGCAGGCAAAGAAATCACCCACAGCAGAGCTGCGATCCCGAAGGACACCACGGAAACGACTTGAAAGGGATTTTTCTCCCCTTGGCGCTCCCGTCACGGCCACACACGTGGCCTCGTGGCACCACGCGTGTCCGGCGACACGAGCCCCCTCTGCCCAGCTCTGCCATCCACGAGGACTCTCCCGCTCCCCGAGAGCCCCGGGACGGGCAGAGCCATCCCGCTCCCGGCACAGCCCGGCGCTCCCGTGCCGACACGTCCCGGCAGCGGCACTCGCCGGCTCCCGCGTGGGAGCGCGTCCGAGCGCGGCGGCGGCTCCGCTCCCCGGAGCCCCCCGCGCTTCCCCCCGCTCCCCCGCCGCTCCCTTCCCGGGTGTCCCGCGGCTCCGCGACCCCGGGGCTCCCGCCGCTCTCCCCCCCCGGCCCCGCGGACACGTGCGGGAGCGCCCGGCCGCTGCCCGAGCCCCGGTGGCACCTGCCGGGGGTGGCGGCGGGCAGCCCCGAGCGGCGCCGCGGCCCCGCCGCCATTGGCTCATTCAAAGGCGGCCGCGGCGCCGTCCGCCCGCCCGTCCCGCCCGTCCCGCCCGGTGCCCGCCGGGGCGGCGCCGCCCTTACCGCGGAGCCCCGGCGCGCTCAGCGGGCGCGCGGGGCGCGGGGCCCGGGAGCCGCGGGGCGCGGCGGGGGCCGGGCGCGGGGCGCCATCTTCCCGCGCTTCCCCCGCGCTCCCGCCGGCATTGACGTCCCGGTTATGCAATTAGCGGGGCCGCCCCCGCCGCCTCCCACGGCTCCGGTCCCACCGCGGCGCAGCGCATCCCCGCGGCACCCACCGGCACCGCACGGCACCCAGCGGCACCGAGCGACCGAGCGGCACGGCACGGATCGAACCGGAGCGGGCTGGCACCGACCCACTGGCGTGACACGGACCGGCACCGACCGACCGGCATGGATTGGCATCGATAGGAACCGAGCGGGGCACATCCCGGCTCGGCGCATCCCTGCTCGGGCCGGCCCGGTGCTCCGGAGAGCGCAGGCGGCATCCCTGGGTCCAGGAGGGGCACCCAGGGTCGGCCACGCACCCACTGCCCGTGGAGAGGCACCGTCACCCTCTGCCACACGCGGGACCTCCCCGCCTGTCCCCTCCGAGCCGCGGCTGCAGCCGGGACAGAGCTTCCCCCGGTGCCCCGGGGCGGGGGGCGGGCAGGGGAAGGGATGCGGGCAGTGCCCGCGGAGCATTGTCCCGAGAGGGAACGACCTGTGCTCGCCGGGATTCCTGGAAGCGGGAGCAGCCTTGCAGCCTTTCTCTGAATCTCAGAGAGAAAATCAATCGCTGCAAAAATGCTTCGGTCGGTGCCAAGAAGAAATCTGTAGGATTTGCTGTTTGTTGGAAAGCGATCCTGGAAAAGCAATGTTTTCCAGGCTGCTCGGGCCATAGGAGAGCTGATTCCCAGTGCCGGGTCTGGGCCAAGCGCGAGCAGAGTCCCTGCGGCTTTTGCTGTCCGTGATGGATGCGGCACCGGGAGCTGGGGCTCAGACGTGTCACAAACCGGAGCTGCGAGCGAGCAGCTCCCGGGAGCCAGCGGCGAGCGGCACGGCACGGGCTGAGCCTCCCTTCCAGCACCCGGCACCCGGGAAGGATTTATTTCACCAAATTCCCACAAAACGCGGGTGTCAGAGCGCTCCCTGTGATGCTGCACCTGCGGAGGGACGGGAAAAGCGATTTCCTGAGCCGCGGGTCCGGCACGGCCGCTCTGCTGCTGCTCCCTGTGCGGGGCTGCGTGAGGAAAGCCGTGTGTGCCAAGTGTGCCAAGCGTGCCAAGCGTGCCGTGCCGTGCCGTGCCGTGCCCCTAACCAGCCCCGGGCCCCAGCTCCCCGTGAGTCACACCGGGATAAGTGTGAGTCACCTCAGGACTAAAATAACTCTGCCCACAACCCTCGGAGGAGCCCCGCTCCTCGCTCCGTGCCTCGGGGCTGCTGCGTTTGCCCCGAATCCCAGAGATTGCTGCACTCCCGGGACAGCGTTCCTGTCGCAGCCTGTCCCGGGGGCACCGGGGGAGCAGCACCCTCCTCCCGGCCCCCGCGGCTGCTGCTTGCAGCGTGCCGCAGGAATGCGGATGGTGTGACGCGGAAATCAAAGGCTGGATCGAGTTCACCGGGGGTGTACGCAGGGAGAGCCTGGCTGAAAGCCTTCCACGCGGAGAGAGAGCACGGGAACATCGCGTCGGGACAAGAGTGTGCAACAAAAATGAAAAAACACGCAAACAAACAAACAAACAAACAAACCAGCATTTGAGATGTATCCCGTATTTTCTAACCGGAATGAAGCAACATAATTATAGCAGCATAAACCAGATTTAATTCTGGTTTCTTTGCAGGTGCTTCTGTCACAGCACCCAGCAAGCGTGGCCTCAGATCTCACTGCAGTGAGCTACTGGGTGCTGCCTCTCTCTTCCTCCTCCTCATCTTTCTTTCTCCTCTTTTTCCTTCTCTTCGTCCTCCTCTTCCTCCTCTGCACACCCGCCTAGCTATCCCTTGGCTATCCCATTTCTTTGGCACTGTGGGATCGCGGTCCCTGGCAGATGCTGGGGCTGTGACAGCACCTGGAGGAGCTGGGCACTGGTTTGGCACCCAAGGCTGCCCCGATGTCTGTGCTGGAGCAGGGCAGGAGTACCCGGCCGGTAAAAGCAGATTATTCTGTAAGCAAGGGAACAGAAATGAACGAGAGCCCCAAAAGTGGTGCAAAGCTGAGGGCAGCAATCCACACCCTCCTCGGCCAGGGAGCCGGGCCAGCACAGGCTCCAGGGCAGGACTCCCAGCTCCCTCCCCGCTATGGAATTCCCAAAAAAACCTCAGTTTTTGCAGAAGGATTTGAATAAAACCCCGTGTAGATAACTATTCCAAACTCCCATTTTTTCCTTAAAAACTTTTACTTGCTCCCCACACCCTGCACTTGCCGAGGGGGAGGTGCTTTCCCTCTTGGAAAAGGATGGAGCAGCCGGGAATCACGGCCCGGGCTGGAGCAGAGCCTGTGGAGTGTGCGGGGAGAGCAGCTCCCAGCGCTGCCTCTGCTTTGAAAACTGCCCAGCGATCGTCGCAGCCTCTTTTCACAGTGTTTTTCTTTCTTTGAAAACAGGCGTGGGAGGAGGGGTTGGATGTTGGCGTGTAGCCTTGGAGACCGAAGCCGAGGAATATTGAATGGAAACCCAAACACGGCGCTCCCGGGAGCTCCAGGCCTGGCGTGGAGACGGGAGCGGCTCCCGCTGGCCCCGGGGCTGACCCAGCGCGGCTCCCCGGGGCAAACCGGAGCGGCCGGTGCCGTGGGACACATCCCTGACTAAAGAAGTGGCTGCCACCGGTTGCTCATTCCCCCTCTTTTCCCTCTGCTCCGAGGGTCTCAACCCGACCACCTCTCCACTGGAGCCACCTGGCCAACACAACCACCTCAAGCCATCCTGTGCGAGGTTCGAGTTCTTCCTCTGTCCCAAACAAGGGTTTATAAGCCAAAAATTTGCCTCTTGTTATTTTTCCAGCTTTATTAGTCTATTAAGAAAAAAAATAATTCCCTCCAAAGCTTGTCCTTGACTGTTTCAGACCTCCTTAGCTGTAGGAGCCTTGACTCTTTGCCAACCTGGCCATTAAACACGGAGCAAATGCTGCTGATGCAACTCCCTCAAATTCTCCCTGATTTTTCTACATCCAAAACCGCACCGAAACGAATTGCTGGATCGGGGAACTCTCGACATCGCCCCGATTCCAGCTCCTTCCAGCGGCAGCCGCTTCCTTACCGAAGGTGTGGGCGCTGAAAACCGAGCGGGTTCCGGGAGGAGCGGCTCCGGGCATTGCCCCGGCTCCGGGCGGGCCCCGCCGGGCAGCCCCGTTCCCCGGAGCCCTTCCCGGCATGGAAACGCCTCGGAAGGGAGCCCGGGCCCGGGGCTGCCTGCACGCTGCCGGAGCAGGTCAGGCCGAGATTTGGCCGCTTTGTGCCAGCTGTGCCCTCGGAAGGAGGAGCGCCGGGCATCGGGTTTCGCGTCTGTTTGTTTATTCAGCGTGGATTTGATCCGGATCTGGTTTTTCTTCTTTTTTTTTTTTAATCGAGCTCTCTCTGTGGGCTCTGTTGAAGAGCCTGGAAGTGCTCTCCCAGCTAAGCAGGTTCGAGGGAAGTGGACAGAGATGTTCTGGGCATTTCTGCTCCAAAAGGACCTTAATTTTCCCAGAAATCCTGAAAGGAAAAAGCAAGGAAGGAAAGTGTAGCACAGCTCAGCTGTTCCTATAACCAAGCTGCTCAATGCCCTATTTGATAGCAAAAATAACAGCAATCCTTTCTTAAGTTAGTGAGCTTTATTTAGGAAATAAATTAAATAATAAGAAAATATGAATGATTGTAATAAATACAGCATGTGTCAAAGTGATACAGACAGGGAAAGCATCATATATTTAGATAAATTACTCCAGTAGTCTGTCCCTGAAAGAACATTTGAAAGATGGAATAGAGGAAAATATACAGTTCAGTCCCAGACAAACTTTGATAAATATTTGTTTATAGGATGGGTGTTTTTGAATTGTGATACTTTATCACAACTAATTATTTTAAAGGCTGTCTCCAAGACAGAAGTGAGAGATTTTGCACACATCCAGACAGTCCCAACCTTGTCTTGCTTACAAAAAAGATTATTCATTCCTTCCCTCTATTAGAAAACCTCCAAAAATTAAAATAATTTCTAGCACTTACTTGCATTTTAGCATGCAAAAATACTCAAACATCAGAGCACATTAAGCAAAAAAAAAAAAAAAAAAAAAAATCAATAATTTCTAATAAGTCACCTGCCTTGAAGGTCCAGGACGTGACTGGACACTAAACCAGACCATGGAGGGGCCTCACCCTGCCTGGGGCAGAGCTCTGTATCCACAACGGGAAAGCCAAGGGCTCCTTTGGAAATCCCAGAGGTAATTCCCCCAGCACAGTGGAACCTGCTCCCTGCCTGCTGATGCAGCACAAGATCCCCTTACAGAAACAGAGGTTTGAAATAAATAGCAAGAAATAAATCCCTGGGGGTGAGGCTGCAGCGGGGCCGCAGCTCCTGGCTTCCAAGGTCCTGGGAAGCACAGAGACATTGATCTAGGCTTTGGGGGAAGGAATGTGCCCTGTTCCTGCTGGGGGGCAGCCAAACCCCCCCTGGGGCTGAGCCCAGAGCTCGGGGACAGGAGCTGCACCCGCTGGGCACTGCCCAGGACAGCCCAGCCCCAGCCCCAGCACAGAGCTGCTCCTCCCGGGCAGAGACCCAGCCCCAGCCCTGCCCAGGGCCACAGCACCACGGGCAGCTGCGGGGAGGAGCAGCCCTTCTCCAGGAGAAAGAATCCCCTGCCAGGAGAAAGAATGCCCTGCCAGCAGCTGCTGCCCTGGGCGTCCCCAGGGGATGGCAGAGGCTCAGGGGTGCAGCTCTGGGGATTTGGTGTGCACACAGACTAACACAAGCTCGCAAACCGAGGGGTTTTTCCTCCTCATCTGTGGGCGTTCGGAGGTGAGCCCCCCAGCCAAGCACACCTGAGGATTTGCTAATTCGTTTCTATGATGCATTTCAGGAACAGCGTGTCCTCTCTCACGTAGGCGTGCCTGGGGGACTGCAGCTTGGCCAGGGGCAGGAACATGGGGCAGCCACTGGCCACGTTCATCTCGTTCACTGGCCTCTGGAAGGAAGCAGAAGTCAGGTCTGGGCGAAAGGCATCAATGATGTGCTCCCTGTTGTTTTGGTCAAGCAACATAAAGGTCACCTGAAAACCAGAATGTGGCAGTGAGGAGTTACTGGCGTGGAAATCAAACCAAGCAGGGACAGGAGTGCTGCAAAAGCAGCTGGATGCCCCGTTGGTAATTAAATACAAACTGTAACAAACGTTCCCAACCTGCAAGGTCAGTTCATGTGAACTCCCAGATGAAGTTTTTAAAACTTTGCTAGCCATAAAACGAAATTAAATTAAATCAAGTAAGGAATTATTCCTCGGTAGAGAACTGCACAGTCCAAAGTCTCTCTCCCCTGACAACCTAAACAGCCCCTGGGTTTGGTTAAATTTAAATTTATTCTGTGATTGTGCTTTGGAATTAGAAAAAACAGCTTGGTTGCCCATGCACAAATATGTAAAAGACAAAACCTAAATATCAGTAGAATCTTCCCACCTCCTTGCCCCTTTTATTAACTCACTGTTCCATAGCTTGAAATGGGAAATATCTGTAATAATCTTTTAATTGGGAACTTTGATTTCTATTTTTTTTTGGCTACTAACTGTCAGTAAAACTATTTATAGGAAAGCTTTACAGAATTATTAACCCACAAAGGCAAGTGCCAGAGCAGAGGTCAGGTCCTGCCATGGTTTCACTGCTTTCCTAACCATTGTTGCAATTATCAGATCACACTTAGGGAAAAAAATCAGACCAGGATCACATCAGACATCTGTGGCACCTCTGTAAGTGGAACTCTCACCTCACCCCTCTGATGCCTCCAGGCAGCAAATCATAATTCCCTCCTAAACTGATATTACCTGTGTTTAGCAAGAGCCAGGAGATGTGTCTGGCTTTAGCCCATGTGGACACGGGTTGGAATATTCCAACCACCACGTTCTGGTGGTGAAAATCCTGCCTGGCAAAGTCTGGAATATCAGCAAGAGCAGCTTTCCCTGCAAGGGACTCCAGGCAGACACAAATCATTACCCAGGGCTGCAGGGCAGCTGCTCACCTTTGGAAAGGGATGTGGAAAAGCACTCAGCTTCCACAAAACTCCACAGAAGGAGTCACCTCGTGTTGACTTTTGGCTGGGATCAGACGTGGGAAGGTTTCCCTCCTTACCTTGTGCCTGAAGGGCCACGGGAGCAAAGCGTCGTAATCTCCCTTCATGACAACGAAGAACAGGGACATGTGGGTTCCCTTCCCTGTCCCATCCCCGTTCAGGTACACCCTCAGACACACCTTGTAGCCATACTTTGCAGTGTAGAAAGCTGAAAATCAGAACTCTTCGTTAGTAAAGCAGGGTTTTTTTTTGGGGGGGGAAAAAAAAGGCATAATGTGCGTTCTGGCATATGGGAAAAGGTAATGTGTGACTTGGTTTGCTCTCACAGAAAGGAGAGCAGACAAATCAGCACCCCCTGGAGATTACAAGCAATAAAAACCCAGTGGTTGGGATCCTTTTAGTGCCTCAAACCTTGGTGAAAATTACCTGTTATTAGCCACACAAGTGTAATTTCCCTAATCCAGTTACTTCCCAGGTGGGAAAGAGCCACATGGTGCCAGCAGGCAGCGAGCTGAGGGCTGGGAGGGATGGATCCACTGCAGGCAGCTGTGCTGGAGGGCAAAGGGCAGGATGAGAGCCCAAACTAGAGCACAGCCCTCTGGAAAAGCACATCCCAGTGCCCTGGATTACAGATCTCTGCACAAACAGCATCTTGGCTTGAGGAGCTGTTTTAAAGATGCTCCTGCTGGCACGAGCAGAAAGAAGCAGAGTTCTGGAGAAATGGGGGGGGATTCGGAAGGGTTGGGGTTTGTGAACACACATCTCCAACTTGTGCTTTACCTGGGGAGTACAAACTGACTGTCCTGCCAGTCACAGAGTCCTGGAGCTTCCTGGCAACCTCTGTGATTTTCCAGAGGAAGATCCCATCGTAGGAGGCTTGCTCAGAGAACAGCAGGCTCTTGTGCAGGCTGCTCAGGCCCGCGTCCTTCTGCGTCAGGCACCGGTGCAGCTCTGCAATCTGGGAGAGAAAACCAGCCCTCAGTCACCCCCTGCTCCAGGCTGGGCTGCAGGGGTGGCTGCATCCTTCTGGAGCCCTCATGTTCTGGAAGCTCTGCTTTGATTCTTTTCTAAGTGACAGCAATATGTCAAAACACACACAGAGGTGTTGTTTGGGCCTCCAGGCAAAATGCTGCTGTGAGAGGATCAGGCAATTAAACAGTTCTTCTGCCTGCTCACACTCTGATCATGGCAGACTAACACTCAAAACTCTCAGGAGCATCTCACTACCTAAACGTGGATTTAGAGAACAAATATTAGAGATGCATATTTGAAAATGTATCAAACAACAAGAGGATCCTGAATATGTGTCCAGAGCTGAGGCCTCCACTGCTCAGATTCCTGTTCTGATCCCTACCCCAGCTCCCCTGATGTGTGTCAGTATTTTTGGCTATAGAACGAGCACCCAGACAATCCTTGCTGTCATTTTTACCTTCAGTTCAAGGCCCCGTATTACATTCTGGTCCAGTTCACTCTGTCTCCTGAAGGCCAGGATTTCCAAATTAGAGCTCTCCACCTCCTTATTGAGCACTGCCACAATGTTCTCAAACACGTGCAGCTTATTTTCCAGCTCAGAAATCACCTTCTCCCTCACGAGCTGCTGCAGGCCAGACTCATCCTCAGGGGCAGAGGAAGATGCAGGGAACCAGTCCATTTCTGGATCCCTGCTGAACTGCAGCCCTGCTGGGATCTGCAGGTCACAGATGCTTTTTCCTGCACTCTTCAAGTTCAGCTCTGGCCGTGGGGAGAGGCCCTTGGAGCACAGGGTTCCCTGCAGCTGCCTCATGTGCTGCAGCAGGAGCAGCATGTGGGCTGCCACGGCGGAGTTTTGGTGCTCCTGGATCTTCTCTTTGCTTCCCTGGAAGAGACAACGCTGTCACTGCCCCTCCCTGGCCACCACAGCTGCCCTGGGGACAAACCCAGCCACCCTTCAGCTCCTGGGACAGGGAAAAGCTGCGAGGTGCAGGTGCAGCTCCATCACCCGGCATCAGAAGTGCTGATTCTGTTTTGAGAGACACTTCCCTGAAGGGAATGTCCAAACCAGGTGGAACCTGCCTGAAGAGACCTGTTTCACTCACCCTAAATGCACAGCCAACTTCAGAAAAACAACAGCCATCCTTGTCGGATGAGGATGTAGAGTGGCTCTGTTGAAAAAAAAATGCAGAAGAAATAATCAAAACTAATTGCAGGGAATTCTTTTATTTCCCTACAAACACCTAAGGTTTGTACCCAGCAGCTATAAATCAGATTAATTCAAGTCAAGGTAATTCCACAGCTTCCAGTGCCCAGCCAGCTTTGAAAATTGATGGCAAATCAATTAAGAGTGTGGTTGAGAGCAAGGTTCCTGCACACAGCCTGGCAGTGAGGTGTCCATCTCCCAGACCCCATAATGACAGAACACAATTTAATGAGCACAGGGATCACCTGGCAACAATTTCTCACAAAGAAAATGCTGTGCAGCACACTCCTGGTCAGGTGGCTCTCACTCAAGGTATGAGAGGAGACAAATATTTGCCCATTTTGGAAGGTTAATTGAGAAGATAATTTAGTGAAGGTAATTGTGGGAGCAGGGGAGGGAAGGCAGTCAGCAGGGCTTTGCTGGGATGTGAAGAGCAGCCAGAAACAACTGCTGGATCTGAAGATGTTCTCAGGGATTTGTTTAATCTAAATGAACAAGTGATAATTTTATTAATTGAAATAAAGCTGCATTGATCCTTCATCTTTCACCCACCTTTTCCTTTGATGCTGTTTCTGTTTGCACAGGTTTTTGTTCCTTGCATAAACTGCCTTCACATGAGTGCTCCTGCGATTAAAACAAGAAGGAAAAAGTCAGTGCCTTATTTAATTATTGAATTAAAGGTCACCCTGGGATATTGGATACAAGATTGGCAATGTGCAAGTGTTGCCAGGTTCAGAGTTATGTGCACACACACCAAAATGTGCACTCACATACATGCAGGGACAAGCAGGGGGTTAGAGAACAGGAAAACAGCAATGACCAGCAGAACAGGAAATTCAAATATATACATATATATATATATATATATATATATATATATATATATATATATGAACATAAACAGGTTACAGCACAGGAAATTCCAATATAAATTCTAATTCAAATATAAACTCTTCTTGTGCTGACTCCATACACTTTTCTCAAGCTGCAGACCCTTCTTGCATCCTGCTTCTGAACACTTTGCAGGCTGGAATCCAAATTCTCCATCGTGATGTGCCACAGAAAATGCATCACCACTCACAGGCCTCCTGCCATTTCTGCCTCCAGGGAGGGTGAAGTGATCCCCGTGCCACTGGTTCTGTAATATTTGTATTTAACACAGCAGCTGCCAGCTTTGCCCCCACACTCTGCAGAGGGGGTGGCTTTAATCTGCACAAGCTCCTCTGCACACCAGTTCTGAGGTTTCCCTTTCGATTCTCAGAAATGCAGCCATGGGTTTTTCTCACTCTCTAACCCATATTTTAACATTCATTATCTTGCCAGTGATCTTAGAAATTTCTGCTCTTTTACTCCTTTATAGCACAAGTTTCTTGAGCGGGAGAGGAGATCTCCTTCAGAGGAGAGAAGTTTATTTAAAAATAGAGAAATACAAAAAAGTCATAAAACATTAAACTGAATGAATAAAATGAAGAGAGCAAGAGCAGCACCCAAAATTTATTACTTTCTCCAGGAGGGTTGTGGACACACAGAATACCACAAATAATCACAATTCTGAACTAGGTGCAAATTCATTAAAGCAGATCATGTACCCGGAATTCTACACACACTAAAGGAGCCACACCTGAAGGCCAGCCCCCTGCTCGGTTACCAAGGTCTCCCAACCCAAATATCAATTAGGTGGTGGTGCCTGAGTGGGAGGAGAAGAGCTCTGGAGGCGCTGGAGCTGCAAGGAGCCCCGAGCAGAGGAGGAGCAGAGCGGGCTCAGGCTCCCCTGCAGCGGGCAGGAATTCCTGTTGCCACCTTCTGGTGGGCACAGTTTTGGGTTTAGCACCGGGGCATGAGCCTGGCTCCCGGTTCTCCTCTCTCTGCAGCTCAGGGGAGGATGAGCAGTGCAGGGCTTTGCCTTCTTTTTCCTGCCTCTGTGGAGGTCAGGGTTGAAGGCTCTTGTTTTGCACCTTGTGATATTGCACACTTCTAATCCAACTCCACACCATCATCCCAGTGCTGCCAATCCATTTTGGAAGCCTTCTCCACGCCCTCAGGTCAAATATAGCATTTTCTTGGGGGTCTGTGCCCTTCAGCACAGAGAGTTTAAAATTCTCAGCATCCAGGACTCCAAGAGAGGAGCACAAGCAGAAGCAGCAGATTTTAGCAGAGCACCCCATTCTTACCCCTGGAGGACTCATAATCTCTTATAAATCCCTCAGTTCAGTATTTGAGAGGCACCAATTTGTGACACTTTGGACACACAAAGCTATCTACACCTCTGAAATATTCACAACCCTCCTCTCATGTGGATCTTTAATCACCCTGCCCAACTGCAAGGCTGGCAATTATTCTCTTGAAATCACTTGGAGGGAACAATATTAATTATTTGAGCAAATAACATAACAAATATAAAGCAAATATGTTTGAATGGGCACTGTTTGAATTTGTGGCAGATTCAGAGTGAGATCTTCCTGGTTTGTGGACACTGCTGATAATTTGGAGATTTACACCTGGTCAGATCTAATAGAAACAATATCTGACAGAATCCTGCCCTACACATTTGTGGGTAATTTTAGTTTGAATAAACTTCAGCCACTTTTCAAGATCCCCTCCCTGCTGCTGTCTGTGCTTTTCTGGTTTTCTCTTGCCTCACACCAGGACTCATTTTGAGGCAGGATCTGAAACCTGCCCAAACCCAGGGGAGCACACGGGCACTTTGTCACATCACCAGCAGATTATCACATCCAATTTCCCCTCCAACACTTGTGTGGAAAAATGATCAAACTCAGGAAAATTAAATATTCCCTGAGTGCAACGAAATCAGGATGGGAAAATGGCAGCACAGATCATTGAAACCATCAATAAAAAGTCTTTATTCGAGACAGAAATGTTCTTACCTGGCCTTCAGAGCTGGCCAGGCTGCACTGGCACTGCTGACACACTGTCACATTATTGACACATCCATTTTCCAAGTGATCTGCCAGCTTCCTCCTCATCACCACGTGCCCACAGCCAGTGTGACAAGGGATCAAAGCATATTCACATAAACTCTGATGCTCCTGGAAGTAAAAAGTTATAAAGCAACATGTGAAGTGCTTATTCATGTTCATCTATAAATAGATATTCACATTTATCTATAAATAGTCTCTGTTCTGGCAGCCCAGGGCTCTCTGATCTGCATTTCTTCTAAGCGTGGGTAAAGTCCCACTGCACAAAGTTCCTGAGATTACTGGTGAAAAATTCACCAGCTTTACTGGGGCTTTTCTTTTTTTAACTCTCAAAACCAAAACCAAATGACATTTGGTAAATTCAAACACAAGGTCTCCCTTAAACAGTTTCCCTTAGGGCTTTTATTTAAAAATACCATGATCCTGGTCCCATCTTTCTCCCTTATATTCATTACTCAAATTTACATGTGAGATTCACAAATTTTGCCCATTTAAATATTTTAACTGAGGCATTTCAGATTAGTTTGAAAAGAATGATGAATACAAACAATACATTGACGCAGGAGGGATTTTTTCTCCTCTGCAATATGCCAAGAACATTGCCTGAACAGTGTCCTGGAGACTGAAGTGCTCTGCCCTGCCACCACCTGCTTGTAGCAGCCTTGCATTTGAATAATAAGGAAACCACTGGATAAAATATCAAGTTGATGCAAGTTTGTGCAACGTGAGTTTCATTCAGAATGTTCTGGATTTGGCCAAAGCCCTGCTAAAGTTAATCAGAGAAGCACAGAATGATTTGGGTTAGAAGGGACTTTAAAGACCATCCAGTCCCAGCTCCCTGCCACGGGCAGGGAACCTTCCACAGATTAATGGCACATTTTTGGGCAAAAACATTGGTATAAATCACAATATTGACACGGATTCTAATTAATTGCATGCATTTGTGTCTGCTGGTGTCCTGGTTTCATTGCCCCTCTGTCCCCACTCCGTATTCATCTGAATAAACTCTCTTTGAATAAACTCTCTTTGAACATACTTCAAAATCTTTCATGGTACCAGACCAGCTGCACCCAAGGGTCACACAGTGGACTCTGAGTTCAGAAATCTCTTTATTAATGGCAGCATCACCAAAAGCCTAGAAAGAAAACAAAGTAAGGAAAAAAACATTGATTAGAAAGTACTTTTGAATGCATCCTTGGAATAGGAATAGGATGGTAGAAATCCACACCTTGATAAATATTTAATTTTTTTTTTTTAATTACTGTATTACATAAGACTCTGTGACCTGTCAAGTGAATCTTAGTGTAGTAGAAGCCCAAATAATTATGAAATAATTTATTTCTTAGCACTCAAAATGAATCTATTTGACACGATGTTAATTTACTGAAAATAAGCCCGGCCAACTACAGGTTTTATTTTGCATTTCTTTTCACGGGAGCCTGAAATATTTCACACGCAGCGACGTGCTGACAGGACGCTGACTGCGGGGTCCCTTAATGAATGCATTTCATTATCGGGGTCATTAACACCTCCTAAACGTGCTGCAGAGAGGAGCTGAGAGCCTCTGCACTGAGAGCACTGCTCAGATCTGCTCATTTAGACACCGTGTGCTAAACAAAAATAGAAATCAAATGGGAAAGAGATTTGTTCTTTGCACTACATAGATTTTTGTGTTATTTAAACACGGGGAATTGTACAATTGCTATGTAATGATGAAATACTGCACACTTTAACATTACATCTTGCACCAAAACAGGGATCCTGGCACAAGAAGAAGCCCTGCCACAGTTAAAGTGTTTTTGGATAGTCTGCAGGTAAGCACAGTGCAGAGAAATGCAGATTTCACACGGAGTAACACAGAGCGAGGATTGAGAGGGGGAAAGCTTTACAAAGAGAAGCAGGAAAGTATTTACAAATAATGCCCACATCTCAAAGTTCCTGAAAATCTAGGCAGCATCTGCTGGGAAGGACGGGCACAGGAGATCCTCTCCCTCCTTGGAGCAGAGAACTGCCAGGCAGCCCCGGGGGGGTCACTTCACTGCCCCCACTGCAGAAAGTCCCAGCACACCCAAAAGAACCCCAGAGCAGAGAAATCCCAAACTGACAGGAAAGCACAGCCAGCTCAGAAGGGCTCAGCTGCACCTATTTGTGCAGGAGATCTGTCACTGGGAAATTCATTCCAGAATTGAGGATTTTTACTTTTTTCTGGGAGATCACCAAGTTCAGCATCAGCAGCAGATCCATTATTTTGCTGCTGTCTAAATTTTGGCTTTTATGCCACTGTCAGCTGCCTATTTGTTTTCATTTCCCCCTAAAAAATGTAGACAGATTATGTGTCTGTTGATATCCTTGCATGTAATAAGAGAGGAGGGAAAAGGACAGGCTGGGACTGGGCCTTAAGGCCCAGTTTGCACTTGGGATACAGAACAGCACAGCAACGTGCCAGGAAAATCACACAAGAAGAGATCTGCACCATTAAATTACAGATGAAACACTGGCCAGAGCATAGTTTGTAGCAATTATTATGTTCAGCTTCATGTTTGAAGGGTACAAGAAACCAGGAGGTTGGAAAATCCATTAAAGCACTTCCTGAGGATGATAAGTAACAGTTAGGACATATTATTACAAGTAGGAAAGCACCAGTTATTTTGAGACAATAAAAAGTTAATCACATGGAAGAGTTTGGGATTTTACATTGCAGAACCTGGATTTGGGAAGTCCTGAGGCTGCCATTACACTTTTTAAAATCAAAAAACTCTGGGAAATCCAAGTTATTAAAGCTTAAGTTAAAATGTGTAACTATCAGCTGCTATTGCATTTTATAGCATTCCCTTCTCAACTCCAGTCCAGAAGTGATGACTACAGAGAATGGTTATTGATAAATTAATGATCTGTGAACTACAACTTACCCTTTCTTCTGCCAATAGACTTTCCTCACCTAAAGTGTTGGGATCTTCCTCTTTACATTTCTGGCAAATTGCATTTTTATTGTTTCTGGTAAAAAGAAAGAAAAATTAAATACCAATCCATTTGTGCACTGCAGTTTAGGATGTCTCTGTACAGGCACTGACACAAATAAAACCATGAAAATTGTGATTTCCTCTCAGAGTCCATAATTCTTATTCACTAAAGGCTTGAACACACTGATGTTAAAAAAGTTTTGCTCTTCTATTCTTCAAGATCAGGACTATGCCCATCAATCTTATTTATATTTCAGTAAAATAAGGGCAGCCTGAACCATAAAAAGGAATAAAGATGGAAAGCTATTTATCCCATGAATGATTCAAAAACTCAAAGTAGGAAAGAGAATGTGAAAACTGAAGTCTCTTAAAACACAGAAAATGCCCATTTTGCCCAGACAGATACAGATATATATGACATTGTATTCACTAAAACCCCATGACATCCCTTATCAAAGGGCTGGGAAGTGCTACGGAAGGATTAAGCCAGCTTTGGACCAGCTGTTCAAGGTTAAATCAGAATTATTATATCACAGACAGAAAAACTCCATCAGGCCCCCCTGAGACTTCCACGGTGGAAACGAGGAGGGGGCAGGGAATATCCTGCAGTCCCCCATGGAAAATCCTTGCAGCCAGGAAAATGCCAGGGCGTCCCAAAGCCCAGCTCCGGGAGCCCTGGCAGTGCCCCCGGGCACAGCCCAGCACCTACCTGACGATCCAGGTGAGGCAGGCAGAGCAGTACCTGTGCCCACAGAGCGTCTGCAGGGCTTTCTTCAGGATGTTGTTGCAGTTGCTGCACAGGAACTTCTGGCCAGGCACGTCCTCGCAGATGTTGGGGGGATACCCGGAGGGGAACTCGTTCTCGTCAGGGGCAGAGCCAGGGGGGTCCTGCAGGCTCCTGCTGCTGTTCTCAGCCATCTGAAGCGAGCACTGAGCGGGAGGAGATCAAATCCAGGTGCTCAAACACTCACCTGGGTGTGAGAGGATGCACCAGAGGCAGCCCCAAAGCCGAGCAGTAACCTCGCAGCGCTCGGCTGGGTCTGCAGTGACAGGCGTGACCAAATGTCACAGTGGGGTTTGACCTGGCACCAGCAGGAAATTACTGCACACCTTTAAAAATTCCCTCAGACACAAGACAAAAATAGACAGGGTCCCAAAAAGGGAGGGTTGGGGTTTTCTTTCAAGAGTTTTTAGCTTGTAGAATGATGAGCTACAGTCCCATCGGTCCTCAGCACAGAGGATTGTTTCTGCAGAGTAAATCCCCAACCACATCAATTCTCAAAATTCGTGATTTCACTTCATGCACACAGAAATTCATCAGCTGGTGTGTTGGCAGTGACCTTTCTGAAGTCATAAGACTTGTGGTGAAGTGACAAAGGAAATCCCAAGTCCACAAGCCCTTGATGCTGTGCTCTGAACAGGCACATCTGGAGCCACATGTGCCAAGGTGTCATGCACATTCCATTTGGTTTGGCTTGCTGTGCAGTGGGACCTTTTTGGAAATGCAGCTGAAACTGATTCTGGTGTCTCTTGGAAAGTCCAAGGACAGTTTTCACCCCGGGAACTGGTGCAGTTTGATTATAATAACACCTTTATAAAGCTTTTTTTTTTTTTTCCCATAACAGTACTGACACACCATAACCTGTCTCAGTATTACCAATAGTCACGCTGACTGAGAAATCTGAAAAGAAATGACTCAGGCTGCCGTGGGCAGGCCGGGCTGGCGGTGTGACTGCCGTGAGGTGGGCAGGGCACAGCCCGGGCTGGAACACGCCGCGTTTTCCATGGCCTGGCTCGGCCAGTTCCCTCTGCAGCCCCGGAGCGGGAGCTCCGCAGGGGCTGCCCGGCCCTGGGCTGGAGCCGGCAACACGAACGTCTCGGAACCCAAGGTGTTTCACTGGGTGCCGGGGCTCACGGCTCCCCGTGCCCGGCCCGGGGGTCCCTCCGAGCCGCCCATCCCGGCTCAGGGCGGCGGAGAGCGGCCAGGACCCCCGGCCAGCCCCCGCTACCCTCCGGGCGCTCCCGGGGCGCGGTTCGGGCACCGGGCCCGTGTGGCCGGGGGCCGCGGGCGGTTCTCCGCACCGGGGGCCGCTCCCCTCCGTCCCTGCTGCTCCCCTGCATCCCTCCCGCTCCTCTCCATCCCTCCCGCTCCTCTCCATCCCTCCCTCCCTCCGTCCCTGCCGCTCCCCTGCATCCCTCCCGCT